CTACCCCCTGGCTAATACCACTCCATGGACCCAACCTCCATGACTTGATCTCACTTCTCTTTAAACTCTGTTCTAGTTGTAGCCTTCACAGCCTCCTGCAGCAAGGAGTTCCACAGGTTGACTCTTTGCTTTGTGAAGAACAACTTTCTGTTACTAGTCTGAAGCTTGCTACCCATTCCTTTCCTTTGGTGTCCTCTAGTCCTTCTATTATGGGAACTAATGGAGAACTTTTCTTTATGCACCCACTCCACACCACTCTTGCTTTTATAGACCTCTATCATATCCCCCCTCCGTCTCCTCTTCTCTAAGCTGAAAAGTCCCAGTCTCTTTAGCCTCTCTTCATATGGGACCTGTTCTAAACCCCTGATCATTTTAGTTGCCCTCCCCTCTCCCAGCCTCTCTCTTCCCCTCTCCCACCTCTTTTTCCCAGTCTCCCCCAGTTTTGTTCAATAAAGAGAGATTCTATTTTTGAACACACGTTTTCTTTATTTTGTACATCAGGAAGGGGGGCTAGGGAAGGGTAAGTGGAAGGAGGTGAGGGAGAAATGGGGTACACGCCCCCGATGGGGAGGACTGGGCTGGCTCTGTGGGCTTCTGGGGCTGGAAGTTCTCCTGCAGCCCCCCGATTGCCCCCTCCCCCCGGATGGCAGTCTGTGGCAAGTGCAGCCGGGCTGATGGCCGAGTGCTATGATGTTCCGCGTGTGGGTACTCCGGGCACTCCAAGCCAGGACTTCTTTGCAAGCGGGGAACCCTGAGAACCGTCTGTCCAGGGTGGGGGTCGGGTCCCTTTAAGAACAGCCCTCGGTTAGCCTGAGACAACAGCTCCACGCTCTAAATCCTACTCTGATGCCCTGCCGGCACTGCTTCCGGCCATCCTTAACCCCGGTTCAGGGTCCACTCAATGTGGACATGCTAGTTCGAATTAGCAAAACGCTAATTCGATCTAGTTTTTAGGTCTAGATGCACTAGTTCGAATTATCTTAGTTCGAATTAACTAATTCGAATTAAGTTAGTTCGAATTAGTGCTGTAGTGTAGACATACCCCCTCAGATGGAGAATTTTCCAGCATCAACACAGAGGACATATTTATAACTCCACATACAGATATTCTACAGGTACATGAAGAGCATAAACAGAATCAGTAGAACATAAGCTTTCATGTGAAACCTCACATGAACCCCATTTTACAGACTTTTGGGGGAAAACCTCCCCCTCTTGACACAAGTATTGTTAGTCTTGCTTCTCCAAGCTGGTTTAGGGTGGCACAAAAATGTTGAGTAACTTTTTCCTGAATCCTGTCATCTTGCACCTCATCCATCCTGTGTCCTCTACCTCTGCCACTTCGACTCTGCATTTATGGTCTCTTCCTTTTCTGCACTGCAGCAGCACTGACTAAAATATGATCTCTTTATCCTATTAAATCAGTTTTAGAACTGGGAAAGGAGCTAGAGTTGAAGTGATTTAGGTGTTTCTAGGAGTGTTTTGTAGAGCTGACCATTTTCCATAAGGAATAGGAATACTGAATGACATGGAAACTTAATCTCAAGTTGCATACTGGCTGTAGGTGCAGTGGATGGCATAAGGAGCAGTGCCATCTCAGCCGTGTAAAGTCTTTCAGGTTTGCTGATGTCCTGTTAAAGAGCAGAGGTGCTTCTTCTAATATTCTTGAAGAGTATCTGTAGATTTCGATCTGGTCAGGTCTTGTTTATTAGATTAAATGGGAAGTTGGTAAGAGATGTGGTGAGGTTAGGATGTAACACATAAAAACCAAGTTAGAGGTCTCCCTCTGGGCACTATGCTGTGGTCTTGGATTTTGTTTTAATGAATTACTTCTTCAAAATATCTGTTTGACCTTCCCTAGGTGTCAGAGCCAGGAATGGAGAGCAAGGAGGAGATGCCCGAGGATATACTGGAGCGTCTGGCCCACACAGAGCAGCTGGCTGTCCAGCTGAAGGATTTGGTCCGAGAAAAGGATGCCGAGCTCCAGCAGAAAGAAGCTGAACTCAAGGTACCATTCCTTTCACCAATGGTCGGTGGAAAGGTGTCTACATTGTGATTTAACCTCTGTGTCTTGCCTGGCAACTCACTTGGACTCACAGAGCTTGGACTACGGGAGCTGATTAATTGTGGTGCAGGTGTTTGAGCTGTGGCTGAAATCTGGGCTCTGGGACATTCCCATGTTGCAGAGTCCTAGAGCCCAGGTTCCAGTTGAAGCCCGAATGTCTACACCACATGATGTGCAGACACTGTCAGTTTGACACGCACTAATGATGCTGGATGGCAACTTCAGTGTGAAATAGTTTCTGTGGATGATGCTGTGGAACCTTGAGTACACCTTCACATCTTTTCTTCCACAGGAAGAAAGGGTGGCCGCAGATGCTAAGTTGAAGAAGCTAAAGCTGCAGGCCAAAGCCAAGCTGGCAGCTCTGAATAAACGCATTGAGGAGCTGACCGAGCAGGGATCAACATTGCCTGCAAAGACCCTGCCAGAAGAGCAGCTACATCACAGCAAGGTGGGAGAGATGTGGCTTTCAGGAAGGCTTTAGCACTGTGGTCACCAACTGGTTAATTGCGGTGGCACTGCCAGTTGATTGCGAGGCAGTGTTCCCAGCCCCATCTCCCTCCCTCCTGTTCCTCCCCCCCCCTCCCCCCGCCACTCAGGAGCCCGCGATAGTGCTACAGCCTTCCACAAAAATAGAACTAACTCTGGCTTCCTGCAGCGTGCGGGGAGACAAGTCCTGCAACTCTGCACCAGATCCGGAGCCTGATCTGGTTTATGCCTTAGGACCCTCCTCCCCCACGCCGAAGGAAGGAAGGGAAGACAAGAAAGAATGAGCTTCTCCCCTGCCCACAATAGTGCTTGCACTTTCTTGTCTATCCTTCCTTCCCTTGGGTCGGGGCGGGGAGGGGGGAGGGAAGAAGGTTTCAGCATCCTGGCCCCAGGCCAGATACCTACCAGGACCCTGATGCTGTTCCCTGGCCAGACACCCACCAGCAGCCTGCTTCTGCTGCTTCCCTCCTGGCCAGATACCTACATAGAGTCATAGAGCTGGAATAGACCTCAGGAGGTCATCAAGTCTAGCCCCCTGTCCCAAGGCAGAACCAATCCCAACTAAATCAACTCAGCCAGGGCTTTGTCAAGCCGAGACTTAAAAACCTCTAGGGATGGAGATTCCAACACTTCCCTAGGCAACCCATTCCAGTGCTTCATTACCCTCTTAGTGAAATAGTTTTTCCTAATATCAAACCTAGGCCTACCCCACTATAACTTGAGACCATTGCTCCTTGTTCTGCCATACGTCACTACTGTGAACAGCCTTTCTCCATCCTCTTTGGAACCTCCCTTCAGGAAGTTGAAGGCTGCTATCAAATCCCCCCTCACTCTTCTCTTCTGCAGACTAAACAAACCCAGATCCCTCAGCCTCTCCTCATAGGTCATGTGCTCCAGCCCCCTCATCATTTTGGTCACCCTCCCCTGTTCAATGCGTCCACATCCTTTCTATAGTGGGGGGGCCCAGAACTGGACACACTGCTCCAGATGTGGCTTCACCAGAGCCGAATGAAGGGGAATAATCACTTCTCTAGATTTGCCGGCAATGCTCCTCCTAATGCACCCTAATATGCCATTCGCCGCCTTGGCTACAAGGGCACCCTGTTGACTCATATTCAGCTTCTCATCCAGTGTAATCCCCAGGTCCTTTTCTGCTGAACTGCTATTTAGCCATTCGGTCCCCAGCCTGTAATAATGCTTGGGATTCTTCCGTCCCAAGTGCAGGACTCTACACTTGTCTTTTGTTGAACCCTCATCCGATTTCTTTTGGCCCAATATTCTAATCTGTCCAGGTCACTCTGGACTCTATCCCTGCCCTCCAGCAAAAGTCTCTCTTCCCCGTAGCTTAGTGTCCTCTGCGAACTTGTTGATGGTGCAATCCATCCCCTCATCCAGGTCATTAATAAAGATGTTGAACAAAACCAGTCCTAGAACCGTTCCTTAGGGCACTCTGCCAGAAACTGACCGCTGATCACCACGCGTTGGGCCCAACAGTCTAGCCAGCTTTCTATTCATCTTACAGTCCATTTATCCAATCCATATTCCCTTAACTTGCTGGCAATAGTATTGTGGGAGACCGTATCAAAACTTTTGCTAAAGTCATGGTATATCACATCTACTGACTTTCCCATATCTACAGAGCCAGTTACCTCATCATAGAAGCTAATCAGATTGGTCAGGCATGACTTGCCCTTTGTGAATCCCTGTAGATTATTTCTGATCACTTTCCCCTCTTCAAAATGGATTATTTGAGGATCCCCTCTATGATTTTTCCAGGGACGGAGGTAAGGCTGACTGGTCTGTAGTTCCCTGGATTGTCCTTTTTTAAAGATGGGCACTACATTTGCCTTTTTCCAATCATCCGAGATCTCTCCCGATCTCCACGAGTTTTCAAAGATAATGGCTAAAGGCTCCTCAATGACATTTGTCAACTCCCTCAGTAACCTCGGATGCATTAAATCCAGGTCCATGGATTTGTGTATGTTTAGCTTTTCTAAATAGTTCCTAAGTTTTTCTTTCCCCACCAAGGGCTGTCTACCTCCTTCCCATACAGTGTTGCCTAGTGCATTTGTCTGAGAGCTGTCCTTGTCCTTGAAGACAGAGGCAAAGAAAGCATTGAGTACTTCAGCTTTTCCCACATCATCTCTTACTAGGTTACTTCCCTTCTCCAGTAAGGGCCACATACCCTGTCTGATCACTCTCTTATTGCTAACATGCCTGTAGAAACCTTTCTTGTTATCCTTCACATCCCTTGCTAGCTGCAATTCCAATTGCGCTTTTGCCTTCCTGATAACTCCCCTGCATTCTCGAACAATATATTTGTACTCCTCCCTAGTCATCAGTCTAAGTTTCCACTTCTTGTAAGCTTCCTTTTTGTGTTTAAGCTCACCAATGATGTCCCTGGTAAGCCAATCTGGTCGCCTACCATGTTTGCTTTTCTTGCTGTGCATTGGGATGGTTTCTTCCTGTGCCTTTAATAAGGCATCTTTAAAATACTGCCAGCTCTCCTGGACTCCTTTCTGCTTCATGTAAGCATCCCAGTGAATCCTGTTCATCAGCTCTCTGAGGGAGACAGAGTTTGCTTTTCTGAAATCCAGGGTCTGTATTTTGCTGCTCTCCTTTCTTCCTTTGTCAGGATCCCAAACTCGACCATCTCATGATCACTGCTTCCCAAGTTGTCACTCACCTCTACTTCCCCTAGTAGTTCCTCCCTGTTAGTGAGCAGCCTGTGAAGCTGTGCATGGCCCCTGGTTGGTTCCTTCAGCACTTGTACCAGGAAGTTATCCTCAACATTCCTCAAAAACTTCCTGCATTGTCTGTGTACTGCTGTATTGGTCTCCCAACAGATGTCAGGGTGATTAAAGTCCCTCATGAGAACCTACCCCCAGCTTGCTCCTGTACCCTACTTTCCACCCAGATTCAGCACTCCTATCCTTATCACACTCACTGGTCGCCCTGTCCTGCACACTGGATCCCTCTATTTTTGGTTCCACCTCAGAATGTAGAGGGGACCACAAAATCCATTAACTCTGGAACTCCAGAAGGGTTAATTTGGCCTGAGGCTTTGAACGTCAGTCCTTCCTACCCTCCCCATGGGGCTGGAGTGCCAGGGGAGTGAGGTGTGTCAGTTGGGGCCACGTCAGTGAGGCTTGGGGAGTTTTGGAAGGGTGGTGTTGGTTGTGGGTTTTTTTCTTTTTCCCCCTGTGGGTCAGTGGCCTCTGACCCAAAACAGGTCCACCGTCACTCCCATAAATAAAGACAATGCTGAAATGGTGTGTGTTGGACATAACAGTTTATTTAAAAATGAAGCCTGACCAACTAACCCCCAGTTGGGGCCAAGTCCGCATCTGGCCGCAGGATCATAACACTCCTGCACCACCCACATCCCCAGTCTTGTACCAAAACACTCCTACACCATCCACACACTGCAAACCTGTGCCCTGAGACCATCATACACCCAACCCTCTGTGCCCTGAGCCCCTCATATACCCCAACCCAAACTCCTGCACCTCCATATCAATAAGCCTGCGACTTGTTCCAGCACCCCAACCCTCCACCTGACCCCAACACTCTCCAGCCTGGAGCCCCATCCCCAAGCCAGCATCCCCTCCTCCACCTCCTCCTACACCCATTAATCTCCCAGAGCTTGCACCTCTCACCCCTTCCCACACCCAAATCCCTCATTCCTACCCCAGAACCCCCACTGCCTGTCTCAGCTCAGTGGTAGTGAGTAAGATCTGGGAACAGCAAATGGAGAGGAGGGGAATCGAGAGCACAGGGTCTTGGGGAAGGGATGGGGTAGATCTTGGTTTACCCTGAAGTTTAAAAAGTGATCTTGGGTGTAAAAAGGTTGGAGACCACTGCTCTAGCATATACTGAGAATCTGGGAGCTGAGAGATGTAGGTTAACACCAATGATCTTATTAGGTTCTCTTTCTTTTCAGGATAGGTTTCTATGAATGATTGCTGAATTCTTGCTTTTGAAGAATTCTTGGTGTATCTGTTAGTCATGATCCTCTCTTTAAATGTCCCTTTTTCTCTGAACATTCTGCCTGCTGTTAGAAACCCTTCAACAGGAATTAGGTATTCTTTGGGAGCTAGAGTCTGGTCTACTTCTCCGTGGATTGGATTCTCTCTTAGGTGTGATCTCTGTGAGCCACTGCAATTTTTCCTGAAGAAAAGGTTATTTTGTGTAAAAACAATTTGGTGTGTCTCAAGAGGAGGCAAGGTTGACAGAGATGCAAGAGCAAGGGGGAATAGGAGTAAAATTGAAAGGAAATCAATATAAACAGATTAGAAGTGCTTTTTTACTAGCACGTGTCACCTGTGGAACTCATTGCCAGAAAATTACAATTAAATTACAATTCAAGATAAAACCTTCTGTTTTTCTTAGAGTGCTTGTTCATATGCATTCCAATCAGGTGTAAGCACATGTGTGTTCATGGAAGCTGGAAGACTTTTATCTAGGAGCAACCATTGGGTCAGCCTAGGTGCCCCTGGAGTGGCGCTGATATGATGCCCAATATATAGCCTTGCTGACCTGCCAATCCCCCAGTTCCTTCTTGCTGCCAGTGATGGCAGCTGTAACTTTTTGCTTTTGCCACGACGAGCACTCCTAGCAGTTACTGTACATAGTTTTTTCTATATCTGTAGTTAGTTATTTAGCATTTAGTGTTAATAGTTAGGCTATTCTAAGAAGAATTGTATCTCTTTCCCCATCCTGGGGTATGCCCTAGTCTCTGGGGCTTAAAGCTTGCCAGGCTTCTGTCAAAGTGGTTAAAAATTGGAATAAATTGCCTAGGGAGGTTGTGGAATCTCCATCACTGGAGATATTTAAGAGCAGGTTGGATAAACATCTATCGGGGTAATCTAGATGGTGCTTGGTCCTGCAGTGTTGTTGCAAAAAAGCAAATGCAGTTTTAGGCTGCATTAACAGAGGCATAGCACACAGGTAGGTGATAAGTACCAATGCCAAGTAGAGCGGTGCTTACCTGGAGTACTGTGTCTACTGTTGGTCACCATCCTCTAGAAAGGTATAGAGAAACTAGAGAGGCTACAGAGGCAAGCAACAAAGATGATCAAAGGGATGGAATGCAAGCCATATTAGCAAAGGCTGAAGGAGCTAGGTATGTTTTGTTTTGAAAAGAGGAGGTTAAGGAGGGAATATAATAGCAGTCTTCAAATATTTGAAAGGCTGCCATAGAAAGATGTAGAGAAGTTGTTCTATCCTGCCACAAAAGGCTGGACTAGAGGCAGTTTGTTCAAACTAGAGCACAGCAGTTTTAGATTAAATGTCAGGAAAAACTTCTACTGTAAGAGCAGTAGGAGAAAGCAACAGTATGCTTAGTGAGGGTGTAAAAGTTTCTTCACTGTAAGTTTTCTGAAGAAGGCATGGTAACCACCTATCCTGGATGGTTTAGGCACAAAAAATCCTGAATCTTGGCAGGGGGTTATACTAAATGACCCTTGCAGTCCCTTAGAAACAGGGGGTTGAAATGACAGTAGAGTGTTATTTCAGTGTATTCTGACTGAGACTAATTAAATAATATCCACTTTTTTTGTATTGTTTTATGCATCAGCAGTTTCAGAGTAATCAGAAGACCAGTGAAGAACAGATAGAGGATGTTGACGCACTCAATCAGAAACTCCAAAAGCAGGAGGAAACTGTCAGGAACTTGATGGAGCAGCTGGATGCAGTTAGAAACACCCTTGCAGATACTCAGGACAAGCAAGCAGCCCAAGTATTGAGAGAGATTTTTAGCTGTGCATTTATTTACTGTCTATTGGTAAAAATCAGCAATATTTTAGTGAAAGGGGAGTAAAAAATGATTAAGTTAGAGGATTATTATTCTAGTTGGGGGAGTGAGCACTGTGTTGTTACATTAGTGCCTGTTAATATCAATCTCTTAGGGGAGGGTCTATTAATAGAGATACTCTAGACAGGAGGAGAGGATGGAAGTCTGGGTCAGATCAGATGAAATACAATCAAAAAAGAGTCTAACACATCAGGAAATGACAGATAAATAGTGACAAATTTTTAAAATGCATATAAACAAGTGCTAGAAGTCTAAATAATAAAATCGGTGAACTAAAGTGCCTAGTTTTAAAGGAGGATATTGATGTAATAGGCATCGCAGAAACTTGGTGGAATGAGGACAATCAATGGGACAGTCATATCAGGGTACAAAATATAGCGGAAGGATAGAACAGGTCGTGCTGGTGGGGGAGTGGCAATATACGTGAAAGAAAATGTAGAATCAAATGAAGTAAAAATCTTAAATGAACCAAAATGTTCCATAGAATCTCTATGGATAGTAATTCCATGCTCCAAAAATAACAATGTATCAGTAGGAATATATTATCAACCACCTGATCAGGACCGTGATAATGACTGAGATACTAAGGGAGATTACTATCAGAGGGATAGCCGTGTTAGTCTGAATCTGCAAAAGCGACGAGGAGTCTTGTGGCACCTTATAGACTAACTGAAGTGTAAGAGCATAAGCTTTCGTGGGCAAAGACCCTCTTCGTCAGATGCATGTAGTGGAAATTTCCAGAGGCAGGTATAAATATGCAGGCCACGATCAGGCTGCAGATGATAAGGAGGATGAGGCCCACTTCTAGCAGCTGATCTGGAGGTGTGAATTCCAAGAGAGCAGAAGCTGCTTTTGTAGTTAGCAAGCCGTTCACAGTCTTTGTTTAATCCAGAGTTGATTGTGTCAAACTTGAAGATGAACTGTAGCTCAGCAGTTTCTCTTTGAAGTCTGGTCCTGAAGTTTTTTTGCTGCAGGATGGCTACTTTTAGATCTGCAGTTGTGTGTCCAGGAAGATTGAAGTGTTCCCCTACAGGTTTTTGTATGTTGCCATTCCTAATATCACTGTAAATAGTGCCACTGGTCTGGAGGTATACACCACATGATCCATTGTTTACAGCCAAGCGCTGAGGTACAACCGTATATGCTCCAACCCCTCAGACAGAGACCTACACCTACAAGATCTTCAACAAGCATTCTGTAAACTGCGATACCCACACGAGGAAGTGAGGAGACAGATTGACAGAGCCAGACGTGTACCCAGAAGCCTCCTGCTACGGGACAAGCCCAAGAAAGAAACCAACAGAACACCACTGGCCATCACCTACAGTCCCCAGCTAAAACCTCTCCAACGCATCATTAGTGATCTTCAGCCCATCCTGGACAATGATCCCTCGCTCTCACAGGCCTTGGGAGGTAGGCCGGTCCTTGCCCACAGACAACCCGCCAACCTGAAGCATATTCTCACCAGCAACTACACACCGCACCATAATAACTCGAACTCAGGAACCAATCCTTGCAACAAACCTCGGTGCCAACTCTGCCCACATATATACACCAGCAACACCATCACAGGACCTAACCAGACCAGCCATACTGTCACTGGTACATTCTCCTGCACATCCACCAACGTAATATATGCCATCATGTGCCAACAATGCCCCACTGCTATATACATCGGCCAAACAGGACAGTCCCTACGTAAAAGAATCAATGGACACAAATCTGATATTAGGAATGGCAACATACAAAAACCTGTAGGGGAACACTTCAATCTTCCTGGACACACAATTGCAGATCTAAAAGTAGCCATCCTGCAGCAAAAAAACTTCAGGACCAGACTTCAAAGAGAAACTGCTGAGCTACAGTTCATCTTTAAGTTTGACACAATCAACTCTGGATTAAACAAAGACTGTGAATGGCTTGCTAACTACAAAAGCAGCTTCTATTCTCTTGGAATTCACACCTCCAGATCAGCTGCTAGAAGTGGGCCTCATCCTCCTTGATTGGATCCACCTGGTCATCTCCAGCCTGATCCTGGCCTGCATATTTATTCCTGCCTCTGGAAATTTCCACTACATGCATCTGACGAAGTGGGTCTTTGCCCACGAAAGCTTATGCTCCTACACTTCAGTTAGTCTATAAGGTGCCACAGGACTCCTCGTCGCTTTTGCAGATTCAGACTAACACAGCTACCCCTCTGATACTATTAACAGTGGTCTCCAACCTTTTTACACCCAAGATCACTTTTTAAATGACAGACCAAGCCAAGATCTACCGCCCCACCCCTTCTTTGAAGCCCCGCCCTCTCTATTCTCCTCCTCTCCATCACTTGCTATCCCCAATCCTTATACTGCTACTTTAAAAAAAAAAAAAAAATTCCCACCATTCCTCACAGCTACTCACCTGTGCTGTTGCTCGGTGAGTAGCTGCTCCTCAAATGAGGAAATCTAATTTAAATGTACTGCGCAGGTGTGCAGTTCAAAGAGGGCTCAAGAGCCACTCTTAGAGCCTCCGAGATCTACCGGTAGATCACGATCTACTGGTTGGTTACCACGGGTCTATAAGGTGCCACAGGACTCCTCGTCGCTTTTTAAGGGAGATTAGAGAGGCTATCAAAATAAAAAACTCAGTAATAGTGGGGGATTTCAACTATCCCCATATTGACAGGGTACATGTCACCTCAGGACGGGATGCAGAGATAAAATTTCTTGATACCTTAAGTGACTGCTTTTTGAAGTAGCTGATTCTGGAACCCACAAGGGGAGAGCCTCTTTTTGATTTAGTGCTAAGTAGAGCACAGGATCTGGTTCAAAATATAACTGGACCATTTAGAAATAGTATCAGAGAGGTAGCCGTGTTAGTCTGAATCTGCAAAAGCAGCGAGGAGTCCTGTGGCACCTTATAGACTAACTGAAGTGTTGGGAGCATAAGCTTTCATGGGCAAAGACCCACTTTGTCAGATGCATGAAGTGGGTCTTTGCCCACGAAAGCTTATGCTCCCAACACTTCTGTTAGTCTATAAGGTGCCACAGGATTCCTCGCAGCATTTGGAAATAGTGACCGTAATGTAATAAAATTTAGCATATCTCTCATGGGGAAAAAACACCTTAGCAGCCCAACACTGTGGCATTTAATTTCAGAAAGGGGAGCTACACAAAAATGAGGAAGCTAGTTCAACAGAAATGAAAAGATATGGTGACAAAAGTAAAATGTCTGCAAGCTGCATGGAAACTTTTCAAAGACACCATGATAGAGGCCCAACTTGAATGTATACCCCCAAATTAAAAAACACAATAAGAGAACCAAAAGAGTGCTACTGTGGCTTAACAACCAAGTAAAAGAAGCAATGAGATATAAAAATACATCTTTTAAAAAGTAGAAGTCAGATCCAAATGAGGAAAATAGAAAAGAGCATAAACTTTGTCAAATTAAGTGTAAAAATATATGAAGAAAAGCCAAAAAGGAGTTTGAAGAATAGCTAGCCAAAAACTCAGTAATAGCAAAATCTTTAAGTACATCAGAAGTAGGAAGCTGGCTAAACAACCCTTGGACAATTGAGATGCTAAAGGAGGACTCAAAAGATGATAGTCATTGCAGAGAAACTAAATGAATTCTTTGCTTCAGTCTTTATGGCTGAGGATGTTGGGGAGATTCCCAAACATGAGCCATTCTTTTTAGGTGACAAATCTGAGGAATTGTCCCAGATTGAGGTGTTGTCAGAGGAAGTTTTGAAACAAATTGATAAACTTAACAGTAACAAGTCACCAGGACCAGATGGCATTCACCAGGGGCGGACTGGCCCAGTGGGATACCGGGAATTTCCCGGTGGGCCGTTGTCCGGTGGGCCATCGTGTCCACATGCCGTTGCCCCTCACTCTGAGCAGCTCTGTGTCCGTGCTGTATGCGGCACGCAGAGCCCAACCTGCCACCTGCATCGCATGCGGGACATGAGGAGCATGCAGGGTGACGTCATGGGGAGGGCCATTCTCAGCCCATTTCCCAGGCCTATTTTGATTGCCAGTATGCTCCTGGCATTCACCCAAGAGTTCTGAAAACTCAAATGTGAAATTGTGGAACTATTAACTGTGGTTTATAACCTATCATTTAAATCAGCTTCTGTACCTAATGATTGGAAGATAGCTAATGTGACACCAATTTTTAAAAAGGGCTCTAGAGGTGATCCTGGAAATTACAGACTGGTAAGTTTAACATGATTACCGGGCAAATTAGTTGAAACTATAGTGAAGAATAAAATTGTCAGACACATGGATGAATATAATTTGTTGAGGGAAAGTCAACATGGTTTCTGTAAAGGGAAATCATGCCTTACTAATTTGCTAGAGTTCTTTGAGGGAGTCAGCAAACATGTGGACAAAGGGCATCCAGTGGATATAATATACTTAGATTTCTAGAAAGCCTTTGACAACGTTCCTCACCAAGGGCTCTTAAGTAAAATAAATTATTATGGGATAGTAGGGAAGATCCTTTCCTGGTTTGATAACTGGTTAAGACAGGAAACAAAGGGTAAGAATAAATGGTAAGTTTTTCGAGCGGTGAGAGGTAACTAGTGGGGTCCCCCAAGGGTTTGTCTCGGGACCAATCCTATTCAGTTTATTTATAAATGATCTAAAGAAAGGGGTAAACAGTGAGGTGGTGAAATTTGCAGATGATATTAAACTGCTCAAGATAGTTAAGACCAAAACAGACTGTGAAGAGCTTCAAAAATGTCTCATCAAACTAATAAAGATGTAGCCGTGTTAGTCTGGTCTTGCTGAAACAAAAGACAGCATAATGCAGCACTTTAAAGACTTACAAGATGGTTTATTTGGTGATGAGCTTTCGTGGGCCAGACCCACTTCCTCAGATTTGATCTGAGGAAGTAGGTCTAGCCCATGAAAGCTCATCACCTAGTAAGATTAACAAGATGGTTTTAAAGTGCTGCATAGTCCTGTCTTTTGTTTCATCAAACTAAGTGATTGGGCAACAAAATGGCAAATGAAATTTAATATTGATAAATGTAAAGTAATGCACATTGGAAAAAATTAATCCCAACTATACATAAAATATGATGGGGACCAATTTGGCTGCAACTGCTCGAGAGAGCTCTTGGAGTCATTGTGGATGGCAGTCAAAAAAGCAAATAGAATGTTAGGAATTATTAAAACAGGGATAGAGAATAAAACAGAAATATCTTGTTGCCTCTGTATAAAACCCTGGTACGCCCACATCTTGAATAGTGGTGACAGATGTAGTCGCCTCATCTCAAAAAAATATATATCGGCATTGGAAAAGGTTCAGAAGAGGGCAACAAAAATGGTTAGGGGTTTGGAAGTGGTCTCGTCTGAAGAGAAATTAAAAAGAATTGGACTTTTCAGCTTAGAAAAAAGGAGACTAAAGGGGGATATGATAGAGGTCTTTAAAATCATGACTGGTGTGGAAAAAGTGAATAAGGAAAAGCTATTTATTTATTTATTTTATTTATTCTACAATATAAGAACTGGGGGGGTCACCAAATGAAATTAAAAGGCAGCAGGTTTAAAACAAACAAAAGGAAGTTTTTCTTAACTCAGCGCACCATCAACCTTTGGAACTCCTTGCCAAGGATGTGGTGAAGTATAGGACTTTAACAGGGTTCAAAAAAGAGCTAGATAGATTCATGGAGGTTAGGTCCATCAATGGTATTAGGCAGGATGGGTAGGAATGGTGACCCTAGCCTCTATTTCTCTGGAGGTGGGTGATGGGAGAGATCACGTGAGAATTACCTGTTTGGGTCACTTCCTCTGGGGCACCTGGTATTGGCCACTGTTGGCAGACAGTAAACTGAGCTGGATAGACCATTGGTCTGACCCAGTATGGCCGTTCTTATGGTCTTATCTAATATTATAACATAAGAATGGCCGTACAGGGTCAGACCAAAGGTCCATCTAGCCCAGTAGCCTGTCTGACGACAGTGGCCAGTGCCAGGTGCCCCAGAGGGGGTGGACCAAAGACAGTGATCAAGCGATTTGTCTCATGCCATCCATCTCCAGCCTCTGACAAACAGCCTTTTATGTACCTAACCTCCATGAAATTATCTAGCTTCTCTTTAAACTCTATTATAATCCTAGCCTTCACAGCCTCCTCTGGCAAGGAGTGTCATGGCTCCTTCCCCACTCTGGCATGATAAATGCAGAAGTGGGGGCCAGCAAGTGTACCCCAAAGCTTTATCTACCAGGCTTTGGTCTAAAACTTCCCCCAAGATCTTAAAAACCTAGATCTTGGGAATAAAACTTCCGCTGCCACCACCCAAATGTTGATAAAGAAATCAGGGGGAAGATCATTTGGGAAATCGCACCCCTAAAATAAAAATCAGGGCACACAATTAACCACTGCCAGGTTAATGAAAGAAAAGAAAGAACTTTTATTATTACAACAATATTCTGGTTGCAAGTATAATGACCAGAGAGGAAGGTAACAAAATATACTCATGGAGAAACTCCATGGGCCTAGAACTTAGTTACAAAGAAAAGCCAAAACATCTTTTAAGCAGTGCCAGATCTCAGATCCCATACCCAATCCATAAAACAGTAAAACCTAATGAAACTACCTAAACTTTACCCTACTTACAGAAAATGAAGAATGGTGTCTTGGAGAGAGAGAGAGACATGCTTGTCCCTCTCTGTAGCTGCAGAGAACTCTCCCAGAGAGACAAAAAGAGAAAGGGAAAAAAACCCAAATTCCTTTGTCCCAGTTTGAAAAGTCCCACCTACATTCTTATTGGTCACTCCATCTGGCTAGGTGTAGTTAACCCCTTAATCCCTAGGCTGCTGGCTAACCCTCATAATCATGACAAGGAGTTCCACAGGGTGACTATGCACTGTGTGACGAAGAACTTAATTTTATTAGTTTTAAATCTGCTACCCATTAATTTCATTTGGTGTCCTCTAGTTCTTCTATTATGGGAACTAATAAATAACTTTTCTTTATTCACCCTCTTCTCACCACTCAAAATTTATATACCTGTATCATATCCCCCCTCAGTCTCCTCTTTTCTAAACTGAAAAGTCTCAGTCGCTTTAGCCTCTCCTCATATGGGACCCGTTCCAAACCCCTAATCATTGCAGTTGCCCTTTTCTGAACTCTTTCCAAGGCCAAAATATCTTTTTTGAGGTGAGGAGACCACATCTGTACACAGTTTTCAAGATGTGGACGTACCATACATTTATACAGGGGCAGTAAGATATTCTGTGTCTTATTCTCTATACCTTTCTTAATTCCTAACATCCTGTTTGCCTTTTTGACCGCCACTGCACACTTTGTGGAAGTTTTCAGAGAACTATTCACAATAACTCCAAGATCTCTTTCCTGATTTGTCGTAGCCAAATTAGCCCCCATCATACTGTACGTATAGTTGGGGTTATTTTTTCCAATGTGCATTACTTTACACTTATCCACATTAAATTTCATTTGTCATTTTGTTGCCCAATCACTCAGTTTGGTGAGATCTTTTTGAAGTTCTTCAGTCTGCTTCTATCTTGACTATCTTAAACAATTTAGTATCATCCACAAATTTTACCACCTCACTGCTTACCCCTTTCTCCAGATCATTTATGAATAAGTTGAACAGGATTGGTCCCAGGACTGACTCTTGGGGAACACCACAAGTTACCCCTCTCCATTCTGAAAATTTACCATTTATTCCTACCCTTTGTTTCCTGTCTTTTAACCAGTTCTCAATCCATTATAAATATTGAACATATGCTTGTAGGCTTTCAATTTTGAGGGCATTCAACAGCCAAGTCCAACAAATGAAACATTGTATGTATCTGTAATTGGATGGAAACTGGGGCTTTTCAGACACACAGGGGCTACGTCTACGCTGGCATGATTTTGCGTAAGAACTCTTTTGGGGAAGAGTTCTTGTGCAAAAACTCTTCCAGAAGAGAGCGTCTACACTGGCATGAGCCTTTGCGCAAGAGATGTGCTTTTGCTCTAGAGCATCCTTGCCAGCGTAGATGCTCTCTTGTGCAAGAAAGCTCTGATGGCCATTTTAACCATAGGGCTTTCTTATGCAAGTAATTCATGTTGCCTGTCTACGCTGGCCTCTTGTTCAAGAACAGTTGTGCAAGAGGGCTTATTCCTGAGCGGGAGCGTCATAGTTCTTGTGCAACAAGCACTGATTTCATACATTAGAATGTCAGTCTTCTTGCGCAAGAACTCGTGGCCAGTGTAGACAGGCAGCAAGTTTTGGCACAAAAGCAGCCACTTTTGCGCAAGATCGCACCAATGTAGACACAGCCAGAGTGTATCTAAAATGCAATGTACGCTTTTTGCACTTCAGGTGTCTATGTTGTCAGTAAATATGTAGCTCTATGTGAAGTAAATCCTCTCTTGAGTAATCATGGCTGTCACAGAGGCCTGCAGTACTAAGGGCATCTTGGCTTCTGGTTTATATTTATTTTCACACGTGGCAAACTCCACAAAAAGTTGGATGAAAAATACTATCTTGTTTCTCAGCATGAGAAATGTCACTTGGCTAACTATGTACAATGGCTTACAGCTGAGTTCCCTGGAGGAGGTGATTCGTGAGAAGGATGCTGTCCTGCAAGAGAAGGTTTACCAGCATCAAGCTGAATTGCACCGAATAGTGGCCCAATCAGAGCTGGAAGCTGAGATGCAACAAGTATGTTTGATGGGTTTGATAGCCCCTTGCTTTCACAGAAGATCAGAAAGAAAAATTGCATGAGTTCAGTGGGAGTTGCCACTCAGGGGTGCATGCAGGCAAACAAAGGATTTCAGTGGGAGTTGAGAGGAAGGATGGTTCAGTGGTCAGGATGCCATCTTGAAACTTGGGAAACCTGCATTCAGCTCCCTGCTCTGCCACTGACTTCCTGTGTGACTATGCTATAAATCACTAGTGTCTCTGTGACTCCCTTTCGGGTCTGTAGAAATGGGAATAAAATATTTCCCTGTCCTCCAGCAGTGTTGGCAGGATAAATACACTGACAAATATGAATGCCCAGATACTAAAACAGTGGGAGCCATATAAGATGCATAGAGTTGGGACAGATGGGATGGGATGCTCCTGTGTAACTAGTGCTTCTGTATTTGGGCTGCTACTGTCCTCTCAGCTTCTGATGTAGATGATGCAGCACTCTTGTTTGTCTCATGTAGAACCTTAGCTCACTTCAGAGAAAGCTGAAGGAACAGGAAGCAGCTCTTTTAGGACGAACTCAGATGGTGGAACTGCTGCAGCAAGAGTTACATAGTGCAGAAGATCAGAACAAGGTATCTCTTTGTGCTCTCAACATACTGTGCTCTTGTGTTCCTTTACTGCTAATGTGTGCTGTTGTCTCATCAGAAGCCTAACAACTGACGTAGCTCCCTACCACAGGGACCATGTGCTTGGCGTGAGAGAATCTGGGAATTCCCTGAGGTCAAAGTTCAAAGCTGGCAGCCTCATGAGAGAGGGCATTTTTGTTTTTGGCACTGCATTGGGGGTATGGTTATCCTTAGTGCCTTAATTAACAGTTCTTTCTAAGTAGAGTTGGTGGTGCAGTTTTGTAACTGAGTTGTTGAACTCTGTGATCTCCTTTTTATGCCTGTTGTAGAATCTTCAAAATGTCTAGTTCAGGCAAAAGTATCCTTTTCTCTAACATTGTCTCCTCTAGTGTCACCAGCTGACAATAAGATTGAACTCCAAGGTCCCAATATTTTAAGCTAATTCTTGTTATAACTGTGCAAGGGCTTTTGGGGAATATGTAATATTACTACCTCCTTGATGTTTATAAAATAATTTGTAGGAATTATGCAGGATTTGGCCACTTCCAGTATCCCTTGCCAGACTTAGGAAGCTTGTAGAAGCCTAGTAGAAGTTAGGATCTGACCTTATTTGCCTTAAAGTTTTGGGAGACTAGAAAGAGATGTTGGGAAGAGATTCCAGAAGACTTGAAAAGAGCAAACATAGTGCCCATCTATAAAAAGAGAAATAAGAACAATCCAGAAAACTACAGACAAGTCCGTTTAACTTCAGGGCCAGGGAAGATAATGGAACAAGTAATTAAGGAATCCATTTGCAAACATCTGGATGATAATAAGGTGATAGGTAACAGCCAACATGGATTTCTAAAGAGCACATCATCAAACCAATCTGATAGCTTTCTTTGATAGGATAACGAGTCATGTGGATAAGGGAGAAGCGGTGGATGCGGTATACCTAGACTTTATTAAGGTTTTTGATACGGTCTCGCATGATATTCTTATAAATAAACTGAACAAATACAATTTAGATTGGGCTACTATAAGGTGGGTGCATAACTGGCTGGATAACCGTACTCAGAGAGTAGTTATTAATGGTTCACAATCCTGCTGGAAAGATATAACAAGCGGGGTTCTGCAGCGGTCTGTTTTGGGACCGGTTCTGTTCAGTATCTTCATCAACCATCTAGATATTGGCATAGAGAATATGCTTATTATGTTTGCAGCTGATACTAAACTGGGAGGGGTTGCAAGTGCTTTGGAGGATAGGGTCATAATTCAATGATCTGGACAAACTGGAGAAATGGTCTGAGGTAAATAGGATGAAGTTTAATAAGGACAAATGCAGAGTGCTCCACTTAGGAAGGAACAATCTGTTCCACACGTACAAAATATGTGAATGTAGCTTCTATGTTGAGGTAACTGGCTCCGTGGATATGTGAAAGTCAGTTGGTGTGATATACCTTGACTTTAGCAACCCTTTTGCTACGGTCTCCCACAATATTCTTGCCAGCAAGTTAGGGGAGTATGGATTGGATAAATGGACTGTAAGATGGATAGAAAGCTAGCTAGACTGTCGGGATCAAGGGCTTGATGTCAGGTTGGCTGTCGGTTTCTAGCGGAGTGCCGCCAAGTTCCGTTCTAGGACCGATTTTGTTCAACATCTTTATTAATGACCTGGATGAGGGGTTGGATTGCACCCTTAGCAAGTTTGCAGTTGACACTAAGCTAGGGGGAGAGGTAGATACGCTGGAGGGCGGGGATAGGGTCCAGAGTAATTTAGACAGATTAGAGGATTGGGCCAAAAGAAATCTGATGAGGTTCAACTAGGACAAGTGCAGAGTCCTGCACTTGGGAAAGAAGAATCCCAAGCATTGTTACTGGCTGGGGACCGACTGCCTAAGTAGCAGTTCTGCAGAAAAGGACCTGGGAATTACAGTAGATGAGAAACTGGAGATGAGTCAACAGTGTGCGCTTGCAGCTAAGAAGGCTAATGGCATATTAGGTTGGATTAGGAGGAGCATTGCCAGCAGATCTAGAAAAGTGATTATTTCCCTTTATTTGGCTCTGGTAAGGCCACATCTGGGGTATTGTGTCCAGGTCTGGGCCCCCACTATAGAAAGGATGTGGATGCATTGGAGAGGGTCAAATGGAGGGCAACCAAAATGCTGAGGGGGCTGGAGCACATGACCTATGAGGAGAGACTGTGGGATTTGGGTTTGTTTAGTCTGCAGAAGAGAAGAGTGAGAGGGGATTTGATAGCAGCAACTTTCTGAAGGGAGGTTCCGAAGAGGATGGAGAGAGGCTGTTCACAGTAGTGACGGATGGCAGAACAAGGAGCAATGGTCTCAAGTTACAGTGAGGGAGGTCTAGGTTGGAAATTAGGAAAAACTATTTCACTAGGAGGATGGTCAAGTACTGGAATGAGCTACCTAGGGAGGTGTTGGAATCTCCATCCCTAGAGGTTTTTAAGTCTCGGCTTGACAAAGCTCTGGCTGGGTTGATTTAGTTGGGATTGGTCCTGCTTTGGGCAGAGGGCTGGACTTGATGACCTCCTGAGGTCTTTTCCAGCTCTATGATTCTATGAACCTTTCTGTTTAAACAGAGATTATATTTTTTTCTGTGCTGGAAGGAGAATGTTTTGGATATTAATCCCATCTTACAATTTCTCCTCTTCTTCAGTCTAGACATCTGATGTCTCCCAGCAGAATATTGATTACCCCTCAACAATCATAAGACAGTGTTTCTTCCTGTGGAGGTTTAGAATCCCCATCATGTGTTGTACCTTTCCTCTTTTTTTTTCTAGTTGGAAATTTGGCTAGTTGAAATTGTCTTTAAGATATGTACTTAGTATGGATCAATTTTTGCCCAGTGCCTTAGGGTCTGAAACAGGACTCAATTTGTTTTCCTTTTGGGTTAAGTCCCTTCTCACCTCCTTTTCCAGACTCTCTTGGAGCAGTGTCAGAGAATGGAGACAGAGCTGAGCTCTTTAAAGAGCATGTTGAATACAGAGAGACAGGAGTCTCAAAGCCTTTTGGAGAAGATGGATCTGGAATTGGCTGAGAGGAAGCTGTCCTTCCATCACTTACAGGAGGAGGTGCGGTATCTTTCAGAGCAGCTGGAGCAGGCAGGAAGAACTCATGCTGAACTGGAATCTGAGTACAGAACCCAGGAGCAGAAACATAAGCTGGAGGTAGAAGAACAAAAGCTGCACATTGCTTACCTCCACATGGCTGAGCGAGAGCTGCGATCTAGCCATGATTCTCTCATAGCTCAAAATGATCAGCTGCTGGTACAGTCTACTGAAAATTCAGCTACCATCCAACACCTGCAAGGTCAGCCTTGGGAGTCTGTCTGTGTAGTTTTGATTTGCATCTGTTTTTAATGGCAATTCTGTACCAAAGAGTGGGTAATATCTTAGATGACAAGAGGAAGAATAAACCTTTCCTGGCTCCCAGGTTGATGGGAATTCTGAGTCTCATTACAGCCTTTCAGAGTTGTAGACATTTTTCTTAACCTTAGTTGTTTCTAAATTAATTTGTTAAAGATTTAAAGGCTATGTTAATGTTAGCAATCTCCTTTTTGAAAGTATATAACTAATTATTGTTTTAGTTGACAAAGTGATTATAACACAAATCAGAGAAAAAAAAAATCTATCTTTTCCAGTGTTTTTACTCTGGCTATATCTACACTGCAGCACTTTTCTGGGATACTAGAGGTGTCCCATAAAAGCTTTGCCGCATCCAAAGAGCGCATCCGCTTTTTCGAAACAGTATCCAAAAAAGCGGACGTGTTCTTTCAGCATCCCTGTATTCCTCATCATATCAGGAATAAGGGATGTTCCAAAAGGGGGAGGTTTTTCCAAAAAAAAAAAAAAAGGGGGGGGAGGGGGCGGAAAAAGATACGCAAATTGTGGTGTGCAATTTGCGTATCTTTTTCCGATTTAACTCTGCAGTCTAGACATAGACTTAGCCCAGGTGGTGTTTATGAGCTTGATGCAGGAATTGCTTGATTTAAAAAAAAAAAAAAAAAAAAAAGGTTTTGCTATTCAGGAGGTCTGACAGGATGATCGTAGTGGTCCCTTCTGTCCATGGCAATGAATAATCATGGATAAAATGTTTGTAGATAGTTAGTACAGACTTAAACTTGTAGCCACTCTGCAGTCTTCCATGATGATATGTCTAAATCCTTTGAAGAGGAATGTTCCATCTCCTTGTCTGTTGAATCCTGCGCGCCTCTATTGTAATGGCATTCCCTGATCCTTTGGTTAGCAAACTATGGTGGTATTTTGTGTGATCAACTGGTAACAGGTTCATTTATTTCACACTAGAAGACATACCTGGCATTGCTGAGGTCATTCAGGGCAGGGGGCTGGCAATGTGGAGGTGCAGGAGTCAGGAGGCTGGGAGTGAGGCGAGGAGAGCTCAGGAATGAGGTGGTCACATCTTGCGGGGCTTTTTTCCCTCCCCCAGCTGCCAGGGCCTTTTGCCTTCCACAAACCCTCCCGGTTGCCAGGGGCCTTCTCCCTTCCCCTCCTCCAGCACTGTGGTCAAGGGCTGAGGTGAAAGGGTTTGGAGCAGGGGAGCTACTTACTTTGGTGGCAAGCAGGATGGCGGAGCACAAGCCCTGCTGGCTACTCTTGGTGGTGTAGCTGATCCCAGTGGACACTCTTAAGGATTGCTATCCCCTGTGCTCACTGCCCCCAGTGGCCACTCTCCTATCACATCTCTCTGCTCTGCCTCCCCCTTTTGCATGCCTCCTCCCTTTCCATGTCATGGAAAACAGTCTCATTCCTAGCACTTCCCATTTTTTTGACCTTGACCTTGCTTAAAGCTAGGATAAGAGGAAGCTGCATAACCAATTTTGGTGGTCCTAGCTCTTACTGTTCAGGAGGAGTTCTTGATCAGACTCAGACGGACAGACAGGCATTTCTAAAATATATATAGAGATAGAACTCTCAGGTGATATGGACTTCCTGCAGCTACTGAGTGGGCTAGAATAGAAGCAGTGACTGCTAGGTGAGAGGTTACATATTCTAATGTGCATACATTTAAAGTAGATCTACTCAGACAAGCAGAGACATGTATACTTATTTTTTTTTTCTTTTAGAAGAGCTCATGCAAAAATCTGAGGAGTTCGTCCATTGCCAGACTGAGTTAAAATGGTTAAAATCTGAGCCAGTGATGCAGGTCTCTCAATCAGAGGAGCAGGTACAATCTGTAAAGGTAATTGTAACCTAAAATTCTCTAAGAATGATAACAATCAAAAAGACTACAGAAATATCTTCTCTTGACCAATTGGCGACTTTCTGCAGTCTGAGCAGGCATTTTATGAAACTGTTTGCAAATGGAGTAAACTAGTATGAGTTCGTTGGGGGAATTTAGAAATGATTAACAGATTTGTCAAAAGTGCAATTGAAAGAACAAGGCCTAATACCTATGGGAAAACATTGTAATTTTCTGTCTTTCTGCTCTTCAGCTGATCTCTGAGCGGGATGAAATATCTCCACAGGAGAATGTGGTGGAACAGGAGGATGAGAAGGGGACTTTAATCCTACCCACTGCAGCCTTGGAGGGGCTAAAGGCTGAAAATGGTATAATTACACTTCTTCTGTCTATTTTCAGCTAATAAGTACACTCATGATCACTAGATTAAGAAGTGTTCCCTGCTGAGGATTTCAGAACTGCTCTCTAATCCTTTTCCAGAAACTAAAATTGAAATTGAATTCTGAGCATAAGAGGAACAATTTAAATTTCAGCCTGTGAGCAAAGAGTAAAAGAGATTCTGAACTAGTGGATTATCCATCTGTGGATTAGGGTAATTATAGGGTTTATTTTTGTAATCTCTCCAAATAGTGAGTTAGAGAAGGCAAGTAATGGGCAAGGAAAAGTTGTTACAAGAATTTTCTATCATCGCTTATGTAGTGCCCTATTCATTTATGGCACGTAACAGAGCAAATGGATTTCCTACTCAGGAAAGTTTACAATTTAAGTAACGTCCGAGATGTCAGGAGAGAAGATGGAGGCTTGGGCAAAGAAATGACAGGTGAATGCAAAAATAAGATCAATGGGAGGCCAAGTTACAGACTTTGAGATTTAGTATATATTCTGTTTAGGTTAATGGTTTTAATTTATTAGTTCTCTTATTCTGGTGATGTTCATAGTGCCTGTGTCCAAGTCTGTTGGAATGACTTTTGTGTTTCAAGGCAATGTGCACCTAGCATACTCCTAGATCCTATAAATAATGTGTGATAATATACTGTAATAAATAAGGTAATGGCTCCTTGATGGAAAGGAAACTTTACACCTGAGTGGAGGAGGAGTAGTGCAGAGCACATGTCCATTTGGAGGGATAGAAAGGTTCTTGCTTTAAGCTTAATGAGTATCTCAGGCCCGTCTTCACTCTGTGGCAAATCGACGCTGCTGCAATCGATCTTCCAGAGTTCAGTTTAGTGAGTCTAAGGCTCATTAAATCAAACTCAGAGGGCGTCTCCGCTGGCATCCAGTACTCTGGCTCTTGTAAGGAGTGAGGGAGGCCGATGGGAGTGTTTGCGCTTGTCGACTTCCTGTTGTGTGGATGCGACCAAGTCTAGCTTAAGATAAGCTGACTCAAGCTACATGTTCTGTGTAGCTGGTGTCACATATCTTAAGCCAAATGTCTGGGTCTAGTGTCAACTGGCCTGCGAGTGTAGACTGCAACAGTAACAATTCTGATAGTGTGGTAGTGCAGCTTTGAAGAGTTGGAGGATGGCCCATCTGTGGGTGGGTTATAGATTACCCTTGGAATGTAGCAGTATATTTTCAGAAGACATGTTGAGATGAAATAGCAGGCTGTATGGTAAAGGGTTTGTTGCATCTTCTAGTGGCTGTTCACTTTTGCTATCCATCACTGGGGAGTGTGTGGGGTAACCTTTTCTTGAGATTTTTGCCAAGTAATACCACTGTTTCTGCCCTTCTCTTTGAGCTTAGGTTATCTGCCCACGATCTCCTCTGCTTCTGAGAATCCTGTCAATGGTTTGTTAGGGTATTTAAGAAGTAATGTTTACAAAACAATTTACATTTCATTTTCAGAAGTCTCTTTTTAGCATATGCACTGCATGCCTCAAGTGGTACCAAGATTATTCAGTGAATTTGGTCTGCTAGTTGGATCATTAGTTTCCCTAGCATGGGTTGGGTACTAATTGCAGTGCAAGTAGGATTAGAGGGTGTGAAGGTAATCCACCATAGGAACAGAGTCCTCAGCTACCTCCTCTGCCTTGATCGTAGAATCACAGAATACAATAACTGGAAGGAGCCTCAAGAGGTTAACAAGTCCCCTGCCCTCATGGCAGAACCAAACACCATCTTGATAGACGTCTGTCTAACCTGCTCTTAAATATCTCCAGTGATAGAGATTCTACAACCTCCCTAGGCAGTTTATTGAAGTGTTTAACCACCCTGATGGTTAGGAAGTTTTTCCTAATGTCCAGCCTAAACCTCCCTTGTTGCAATGTAAGCCCATTGCTTCTTGTTCTATCATCAAAGATTAAGGAGCATATTTTTTTTCTCTCTCCTCCTTGTAATGCCCCTTTTAAGTACTTTAAAGCTGTTATGTACCCTTTCAGTCTTCTCTTTTCCATACTAAGCCTAATTCTTTTAGTCTTCCTTTCATAGCTCATGTTTTCTAGACTTTTAATCATTTTTGTTGCTTGTCTCTGGACCGTCTCCAATTTCTTTGCATCTTTTCTGAAATGTGGTGCCCAGAACTGGACACAGTACTCCAGTTGAGGTCTAATTAGCACAGAGGAGAAGAAAAGAATTACTTCTCGTGTCTTGCTCACAACACTCCTGTTAATGCAAAAAGAGCAAATATCATTCTGGAATGCAACAGTTTCATTCTATTGACTCATATTTCACTTCTAGTTCACTATGATTCTAGATCCCTTTTTGCAGTACTCCTTCCTAGACAGTCACTACCCATTTTGTGTGTGAAGATTGATTGTTCCTTCCTAAGTGGCATTTGTCCTTATTGAACTTTATCCTGTTTATCTCAGACCGTTTCTCCAGTTTGTCCAGAACATTTTGAATTATGACCCTGTCCTTCAAAGCACTTATCCCAGATTAGTATCCTCTGCAAAGTTTATAAGCATACTCTCTATGCCATTTAGTTTCATTGATGAAGATATTGAACAAGACTGTTCCCAAAACAGACCCCTGCGGAACCCCACTTTTTAATCCCTTCCAGCATGACTGTGAACCAGTAATAACTACTCTCTCCGAATGGTTTTCCAACCAGTTATGCACCCACTATGTAATAGCCCCATATGTTTTGTAGTTCCCTAGTATATTGATAAGAAGGTCATGTGAGACCGTATCTACTGCTTGTCCCTTATCCACAAGATGTGTTAACTTATCAAAGAAAGCAATCGGGTGGGTTTGACATGATTTGTTCTTGACAAATCCATGCTGGCTGTTATCTATCACCTTATTTTCTTTCAGATGGTTGCAGATGGATTCCTTAATTATTTGCTCCATTATCTGTCCTGGCACAGAAGTTAAGCTGACTGGTCTGTAGTTTTCTGGGTTGTCTTTACTTCTCTTTTTATATATGGGCACTATATTTGCTTTTTTCCAGACTTCTGGAATCTCTCCCATCTTCCATGACTTTTCAAAGATGATGGTTAATGGCTCAAATATCATCTCAATCAGCTCCTTGAGTATTCTAGGATGCATTTCACCAGACCCTGGTGATTTGAAGACATGTAACTTGTCTAAGTAATTTTAACTTGTTCTTTTCCTATTTTAACTTCTGAACCTACCCAGTTTTCATTGGCATTCTCTATATTAGGTATTCCAATTGCCACCAACTTTCTTGGTGGAAAGTAACAACAAAGAAATCATTAAGCATCTCTGCCATTTCCACATTTTTCTATTATTTTTCCCTCTTCATTGAGCAGTGGACTTACCCTGTCCTTTGTCTTCCTCTTACATCCAATATATTTGTAGAATATTTTCTTGTTATCCTTTGTCTCCAGCTAGATTGAGCTCATTTTGTGCCTTTGCCTTTTTCATTTTGCCCCTACATACTTGTGTTATCTGTTTATATTGAGCCTTTTTATTTTGACATAGTTTCCACTTTTTGTAGGGCTCCTTTTTAGTTTTTAGATCATTCAAGATCTCCAGGTTAAGCCAGGGTGATCTCTTTCCATACTTTCTATCTTTTCTGCTTAGTGGAATGGTGTACTCTTGCGCCCTTAATAATGTCACTTTGAAAAACTGTCAACTGTCTTCAGTTGTTTTTCATCTTAGTCTTGCTTCCAGTGGGACCTCACCTACCAGTTCCCTGAGTTTACTAACGTGTACCTTGTTGAAATCCTTTGTCTTTACTTTGCTGTTCTACTTTCTACTAGTCCTTAGAATCATGAACTCTTATCATTTCTTGATCAGTTTCACCCAAGCTGCCTTCTACTTTCAATTTCTCAACCAGTCACTCCAGATTTGTTAAAATCAAATCTACAACAACCTCCTCCTAGTAGCTTTCTCCCTCTTCTGATATAAAAATTGTCTCCAGCACATTCCAAGAACTTAGATGAACTATGCCCTGACTACCTGTGGGGGAAAACAACACAGCAAAGTCCCTCATCACCACCAAATCATCCTGTGCTTTGGATGATTTTGTTAGGTATATGTGTTTAAAAAAAAAAATTAAAAAAAAGTGTCATCCACCTTTTCTACTTGGTTAGGTGGTCTGTAATAGACCCCTAGCATGACATCGCGTGTGTGTGTGTGTGTGTGTGTGTGTGTGTGTGTGATACGTGTTTGTGTGTGTGTATGTGTGTGTGTGTGTGTGTGTGTAAAGCCTTTTTAACCTTACCCTGAGATTCTCAACAAGTCGCTGAGGGTATGTCTACACTACCACCCTAGTTCGAACTAGGGTGGTAGTGTAGACATACCCTGACTGGGCCTCACAAAACCCTACTGTCCTCAAGGGCTGGAGCTTTGGCCATGCCTGCCAGTGCCTCATGTTGTGAAGATGAGGAGGCCCCCAAAAACAGGTGTCTGCCCCTTGCTGTCAGCTTCCGAGGGGTTCCGTGACTCCCGGAGGTCTCGATAAAGTGTCATGGCACTTAGTTCTGGGGTTTCTGAGGTTGAAACTGGTGCTGATCTAAATACCAGTGTTACTGTTGGTGTAGCTGTTTAAATTTGCTTCATTTGCAATTTGGAAGTGTCTAATTTACATCCCTTTTTTTGAGAAAAGGGATGTAATTTAGAGACCACCTGAGTGGTTAACCTGTAATCACCCTTATTGGTTACAGTTAACCAGCAAGGGCTGGAGCAGCCCCCCCGTGGGTAGGGGAGTGCTTCAGCCTAGTGGAGCCCTCCATAGGTGGGGCAGGAGTGGCACTCCCAGCCTGGCTGGTGCAGCCCCTGTCTGTGGTGGGCCTGGCCAGGCCAGAACAGTGCACTGCAGGCAGGAGCTGCTCTGGCTCCGCTGGAACAGCCTTCAGCTGTGGGTGGGGCCACTCCAGCCCAGCTGAGCTGGATCAGTCCCCTTGCCCAGACCTGTTTAAACTTATTTAATCGGTTAACTGATTAAATGGGATTTTATGTCCCTACTCCAGAGCAATAATAGCTTTTGTTGATGCCCAAAGTAGTGCTGGTGACATTCCTCTGCCTGGGCAATCCTGACCTCTCCCTGAAGAGTGCTTGAGCTAATGCTCTGTCCTGGGTTGACTCCCATACCTTCTTCCCCGCTTTGGACCCTGCTTTCAGGAGAGTACAAGAGTGTGTTCCCCTCAGGGAGAGCACTATTTTCTCTGAAGGTTAATGACCACTTGTTTATGAACATTTCAGAGACCCTGGAGGCTCAGCATGAAGCTGTGATGAGCACAGAAGATTCAAACCAGGTAATGACCATGCAGCCAGACTAAACAAAACCTAAAATAGGTTGAGGACATGCCCTTAAACTGCTTCCCTTAAGCTGTCGAGGCTTCTCCTAACAATCCTCTTTGCTTGGTTATTATTAGGTGGATTAAAGTAGAAAGATAGAAATGGATGCTAAATACCGTTTGTACTTGGCTAGAAAGCAAACCCAATCCAGGTTTAATAGTTATGTGGGATTTTGAGCCCCCTTGATCCATTGTCAAACCTCTACAGTCCACAAAGGTGTTCTCTGTTCTGTATTCCCCTGCAGTGTCCTATATCAAATTGATCTAGGTCCTAGGGAGCACCATTCTAAAAGTTTGACTTTTTGTTGTATATTGCACTTCAATCCCACTCACTCCCATTGCCTTGTAAGGGATCTTTCATAGAAGGGAAAACAGTGTACTTTGTCAAGAAGGAGCGGGGGACTAGTAGAATATTTTTGTCCCCGTTCCTTAGAGCATGGAGATGGAACCATTGCACAGTCCATTCATAGGTGATCAGCTCGTGGTCTGGTGACCTTACAATCAACCTGCAAATGAGGGCAAGAGAGTAGTAGTAGACCACCATTCCATGCTGGATAGACTAGATCAGTGGTCTCCAACCTTTAAAGATGAGATCACTTTTTAAATTTAAGTGCAATCCCAGATCTACCTCAAACCCAAATACCCTTTCCCTGCCTCCTTTCTGCCCCTTCTCTGAGGCCCTGCCCCTACTCACTCCATCCTCCCTCTCTTCCCCATCCTCCCTCAGTTTCATCAGTAGGGGCAGCAGGTTGGGGTGCAGGCTCTCGTCGTGGATTAAGGGATTTGGAGTGTGAGAGGGCTCTGAGCTGAGCTTGGGGCAGGCCTTTGAGGTATTGGAGGGGGTTTTAGGTGCATGCTCTGAGAGTGTGTTTGGATGCAAGGGTGCTCAGGGCTAGGGCAGGGTCTTGGAGTGCAGGAGGGGGTTCATGACTGGGATAGGGTTTCAGGATGTGGGCTCCAACTGGGCACTGCTTATATCAGGTGACTCTTGGGTGGTGGTATAGTAGGGCTAAGGTAGGCTCACCCCTGCCCTGGCCCTGTGTCACTCCCAAAGACAGACAGCAAACTCCCTCCCAAGTCCTATTGTGCCCCTCACTCTGCTCTGTGGAGATAGAATACAGGGTGGGAGAGGGGGCATCTTAACATTAGTGCCCCTCTTCCTCCCCTGCCCTGTCCTGCACAGCAAGCAGAAGGCTCCCAGGGGTAGGAAGAGGCAGCTCCAAGGCAAAAGGCAGGAGTTGCACAGCAGAATGGGGTGGGGTAGCTGAAGTGGCAGTCAAAAAAGCAAACAGGATGTTAGGAATCATTAAAACAAAAGGAAAAATGATGTAGCACTTCATTGATGATTTAATAGGTGATCAGCTTTCTTGGGCCAGACCCACTTACTCAGATCATATTCTGAAAGAGAATTGGCATGACCACATATACCAAAGGAATACAATGAAAAAAGCGAACACGTTATTAAACTGACAAATCAGCTTTAGAACAGAAGGTGGGGCGAGGGAAAGGGAGGGAGGGAATACCTGTTTAAAAAGGGATAGAGAATAAGACGGAGAATATCTTCTTGCCCTTATATAAATCCATGGTACGCCCACATCTTGAATATTGCATACCGATGTGGTCTCCTCTCAAAAAAGATATACTGGGATTAGAAAAAGTTCAGAGAAGGGCAACTAAAATTATTCAGGGTTTGGAACGGTCCCATATGAAGAGAGATTAAAGACACTAGGACTTTTCAGCTTAGAAAAGAGGAGACTAAGGGGGATATGACAGAGGTCTATAAAACCATGAATGGTGTGGAGAAAGTGCATAAGGAAAAGTTATTTACGTGCTCCCATAATATAAGAACTAGAGGCTACCAAATGAAATTGATGGGCAGCAGGTTTAAAACAAATAAAAGGAAGTTCTTCTTCACACAGTGCACGGTCAACCTGTGGAACTCCTTGCCTGAGGAGGTTGTGAAGGCTAGGACTATAACAGGGCTTAAAAGAGAACTAGATAAATTCATGGAGGCTAAATCCATTAATGGCTATTAGCCAAGATGGATAAGGAATGGTGTCCCTAGCCTCTGTGTGTCGGAGGGTGGAGATGGATGGCAGGAGAGAGATTGCTTGATCAGTACCTGTTCAGTTCACTTCCTCTGGGGCACTTGGCATTGGCCACTGTAGGCAGGCAGGATATTGGGCTGGATGGACCTTTGATCTGACTTGGTATGGCCGTTCTTATGTTCTTAAGTGCCAGCACTTGATAGCCTTTTGGCCAAACCTGTCAGGATCACCTGTCAGAGGCTCCAAGATCTACCATTAGATCGCGATCTACTGGTTGGTGACGAGTGGACTACATGATGCGGGTCATGGCCCTCAAAATACCTGTCTGAAGAACTTAGCTGAAAACAAGGTCTGGGCTCTTTCCAAAGCACCACCCTCTTTTCTAGTCAGTTAGCAGGGACTACAGTGGTGATGTAATATCACTCCCTGCCCAGCACATCCATCTCCTTTTGGCTTTGGAGAGAGTGATTTGAGGCATGAAGTTCACAGTAGGGTTAGGGTTAACCAGTTAATTAATGGGGGACTGGAGAAGCCCCCTACCTGCTGTGGGCAGGAGTCTGTTCCAGCCCCATGAGGCCTACTGCTGGCAAGGACACTCCAGCTGGCTGGAGCAGCTTTGGTCTACAACAGACATGGCTTAGGCACACTGTGGGCAAGAGCATTCCAGGCCATGTTGCAGTCAGGGGCCCACTGTAGCTGGCTCCCCACTCACCTCTGTTTAATCAGTTAACTGGTTAAAATTAATGTTTACATCCCTAGTTCACAGTTTCTAGGCTATCAGATTATTCCTATGGTTGTGTTTATTTTAGAAGATTATTGTTCACATTTTGCCACTGTCTAACCCATTATTAGTCATTGATTTAAAAGTGAGAGGACGTTTGTCCCATTTAGGGATGTACCAAAGCCATTTTATTGGGTTCTTATTCCTATTAATAGTCACCTTGGTAAAAAGCTACAGATTAGATGGGGTACAGTGCTGGGAGTAGGGAGGGTCATTGTCATTTAAGCATCTTTTGTCACTCTTTATTTTAGACTGAGGTTTGTATGACTACAAATCCAACATGGGGCAGGCTGGATTCATGCACAGATTTAATCTGAATCCTCTCAGGATACGTCTAGCCTACAGGCTTTTGTCGACAGAAGTTTTGTCGACAGATACTGTCAACAAAGTGTGTCTAGACTACATCCAGTTCTGTCAACAAAGCAAGCCGCTTTGTTGACATGACAGTGTAGACGCAAAGGACAATGTAGGTGCAATAACGCCTTCTGTCAACAGAACTCTGTCGACAAAAGGCGTTATTCCTCGTAGAATGAGGTTTACAGCCGTTGACAAAACTGCTGAGTTCTGTCGACGTTATGTCAACAGAACTCAGCGGCAGTGCAGATGCAGGTATAGTTTTGTCGACAAAAGTCCACTTTTGTCGACAAAACCCTGTAGTCTAGACACACCCACAGTGGGTTGAATAATTGTTGGTGACATTGGCACTCATATAGGCAAAAGCACTCTAGCATTTTGGTTTGGAGATCATGCCTGATGAAATAGTCTGTGATGCTGAGTGACTCCCTAGTGGCCAGTATTGCTACTGTATGCTTGTATAGGGTGGTAACATACCTTAGTTTTGTTCTCAGAGCTTTTCAATGTCTCTGTGTTGCTTTTGAGAATGATCGTGAAGAAGTTTACTGGAGGATACTGCTGCTATAAAATGCTACACAGCTATATATTTGCCTGGCATTGCTGGAGCTGGCTTAAATTTAACTTCAGTCTCATTTCAGACTTTGCTAGCTTTTGCCTGAATAGTAAGTGTGTTGTTTCCTTATGTCCCCCACTTTTTATTTAATTTTGATAAAGTGGGGTTTCAGTGAGCAGCATAGCTAGAGGCAGGAATGGAGAATCATGGTCCCTTGCTGTTTTGATTTTGGTTTGCTTTTATACAAATGACTAGTATGCCCAAATGAGTGTGGTGATTTGTGATGTTTGTCAGTGTTTATTGGTAACTAAGAACTGAGACTGGGATCACAGAATTCTGTTAGTTCTCTAGCAAGCCTTTTTTAAAGATGAAAGATCTAGTACGCCACGTCTTACAAAACTAGATCCCCCATCTGGATGTCACCATAAGATCAGCTAATTTCCTGGGTTTAATAGGAGGTTCTGGGCAGGAAGTCTGTCCCCTCTGTGAGTAGCACTTCTACCTTTTTGTTTTCACAATATGCTCCACCTTCTGCAACTGTTGGGTCCTGTCGCTTCATGCTAAAAATCAGCAGAGGATGGGTGACACAAAGCAGCACCAATTGGCAGCCCAAGAGTTTCTGGAGTGTATGGGCAGGTCACATCTTCTGAAGTGGCTCTCAACTGTGAGTGCCAATTTCAAGTCAGATGGTCAGAAATCTTAATGTCATGCTCAGGGCTCGACAAATGCACTCGCCTGCTCGCCCGTGGCGAGTAGATTTTGCCAGCTGTCGAGTGCAGGGGCGGACTGGCCCGGTGGGCGGTTGTTATGGGCTGGCCGAAGCCCACACTACGGGTGGCGCGTCCCCATCCAATCCGCCAGCCGGCGGAGGAGCAGAGCGCTGCAGGGGAAGGGGGAATCGCGGTGATTCTCAGCGCCAGGCTGCCTGCGTGCAGCTGAAGCGTGAGGAGGCGGGGCACCGGCAGACGCCAGGACGCTGGCATGATGTGGCCCAGCTGATTTTAAAGGGCCGCATCAACTTGGCTCTGGCTGCGTGTCCCCAGGAGCTGGCTGCGGCACGCGGCAGAGCCAGGCCCCGCCCCGCTGGCTCCAGTCCTGCCATGGCCCCAGTCCCTTGCCGGCGAGAGACGGCTCCCAGCCAACCACCCGGCTCACTGCGCCTGCCCTGTGCCCCATCTGGCTCCCGCCGCCCATTCCCCACGCCGCCCCTGCACCCCGGATCCCCTGTTCTCCCTCCGGCTCTGCCCCGCCCTTGCACCCCGCACTCTGCTTCCCCGATCCCCGCTCCCCCACCAGCTCTGTGCTGCGCGTTCCCTGCACTGGCCCTAGACCCCGATCCCTCTGCCCCTCCCATTCCCCGTGCCTCCACCGCACCCTGCACACTGCTCTCCCCGATCCCTGCATCCCTCTGCCTCTGTGCTTCCTGTTCCCCGTGCCACCCTTGTCCCCCCTTCCGCCCCCACTGTTCCCTGCACCCCTCTGGCTCTGTGCTGTCCCTGCACCCTGTTTCCCCTGTGGGTTGGGAGTGAGGGGTGCTTGTCCATAGGGAGGGGCAGGACAGGGCAGGGAAAAGGCTGCTGTGACCCAGCAGCAAGTGAAAGGGGGAGTTCACTTGAAGCGCCTTTTCCTTTATGGGAAAAAATGAATGAAAATGCTGTTTTCTATTTATAGGGCTAAAATGCTGGGACAAAAATGAAAACAAACAAAAAAAAACCCATTGCAAAATGCAAACGTGTAAAAGACAACAAAAAAGGGGAGGAATGTTTTGCTTGGCCCTGGGGGAGGGGAAGCGGCTGGGCTGGGCTGTGGGGAGGGGAGGGGAAAAATATGGGGAAGGGGCTTGTGCTGAGGGGAAGGGAGGAGGTCAGGAGAAGAAGAAGAAAGGGGAAGGCACCAAGGGACAGGGGTGCAGGAGAGACAAATCCCAGGGGACCGGGAGAAGGCTTGAAAGAAGGGGTGGGCATGAGAAAGGTGGGGATGGAGCAAGTCATGTGTGAGGGCACAGAGGGGCAGGAAGGGAATGGGGCAGAGTGGTGAGAGGCTGGGAATCAGGGAAAAAGAGGGCAAAGGAGGTAGGGGCAGTGAGGGAAGGGGGAGCACCAGGAGGGTGCAGGGCTAAGGGAAGGTGCAGGTGCTGGTACCAGGGGATTCTGGGCGTGAAGCAGAAGGGCAGACAACTGCAGGGAAGGGACCAGCACCAGAGGAGAGATGCAGGGCAGGTGTGTAGAGGGAGGTGTTAGGCGAGGGGATGAGGAGGGGTAGCTCACTTGATCAGAGTGGGGCTACTGGAGTAGTGGGCACAGGGGGGAAAGAAGGGCTGGTGGAGGGAGGCAGGTCTCAGGAAGGCTGAGGGCAGCAAGAAGGGCAGGAATCAGGACAGCAGAGGAGAGTGAGGGGTTGGGGGGCAGCAGGCACCAGGGGAGGAGACCTGGCAGCAGAGGGAAAAGGTAGAAGTGTATAAGATATTTATTAATAATGTGGGTGATATTTATTAAGAACGTATTAGTAATTACTGTTCTTATTCTTATTAGGAATTTATGGCATTAAAAAAACCCACTTTTTTGGGGGGGGAGGGTGGCGAGTCCCTTTTTTGTCTGGTGGTAGGGTTTTCCATAATTTGTCGAGCCCTGGTCATGCTACTGTGCTTTATTTGTCAGGATAGGCATCCAGACCATTTCTGCTTTAGCAGCACTTGGGAAGGCTGAGTCCCTGCCTTCTGATGTAAGGTTTTCTTTTCAAAGGATAAACTGCTTTCTTTATATAATTATTTAAGGTCTTTCAAGTCAAGATGCTCATATGATTGTGGTTATTCCATTGTGACTAATCTTTAACTCTTAAAATTCTCAATATCAAATTTAAACTTTTAAATAGCATTGAGTTCTAATTGTTAAGCTAGTTGACTTATGGCATGTGAATCCTGTTTGACTACACTAGTTGTCACAGTGTCTGAAGTGTCTTCATAAGAGTGAGTGCCATTTTGGAGTCAGACTGACCGAAAACATGGCAGATATTCCATACTGGTGGTATAATTTATAATTAGTTTTCACCAAGCCAGAAACAAATCTGGACTCCTGGATCACTATAATAGTTCTACCATGGAGCCACAAACAATCCCTTCAGTTTCTCCTGTCTGCCTTATCATACAGGCTAACTGGACTTCTACCAAATATCACATCACATTAGGTTATTCCTAATGAGTCAGTCACTTACCCCAGGAGCAATAGATACTTTCTATTTCACACCAAAAACAATGCTGAAAGCTGATTTCTCTAGTAAACTAGTTAAAGGTTTATTGGAAAAGAAATGAGTTACTGAGACATTAAAGGAGGCAAATTGCATTAACTGGCGAGTCAAACTTTGTAAATCCAAAGTAACAGAGATGCAGTGATCTGTTAGTTTTCCAAAAGTTCCTCAGGGTTGCCCAGGGTAATTCTGGAGATCTGTCTACTTATTTAGTATTCCACCCTATTAGAATCCAGAATAGTTCAGAGATGCAGAATCAATCCCTGGATTCATTCTTAAAGTGGCTTTCATTGGCTAGGGTTTTCATCACAACAGGAGCTCTTTTTTTGTTGTTGATTTAAGGCAAACAGTCTGTGAAATTCTGTTGTTGAATACAGTGACCAGGCTTTGCAGTTGGAAATGTGAAAGATTGCTAAGGCTGCTGTCTTGTATAATCGGTAAATGTAATGTATAGACAATTTAATAGCCAGAAACAATGCTTTGCTATTTTTCATGAAGTTTTCACATCCAGTACATTTCATCTTCACACTAAAACCCACTTCAGTCTAGGCTTATTTAATTATAAATACCGTAATTTAGCAAATCTACCTCGCACCCGAATATACCCCACGATTTTTTCTATTTGAGTAAAAAAAAAAATCATGTATACCCCGTGCATGAATATAACCCACGGGGTATACAAGACTTTTCTGTGCCAGGGGTATATTTGCTGGGGGTATCTTTACAGTGCAGGGGGGGATTAGCCACTCACCGCCCCAGGTTCCAGCACATCCTCCAGCCTCCGGGCAGGGGAGCAGGACCCACCAGCCTCCGGGCGGGGAAGCGCTCACCTCTCGGTTCCTGCACAGCTGAAGGAAGGGTCGGGGGAACAGGACCCACCAGCCTTCTCCAGGTGGGGGAGCGCTCACCTCCTGGTTGCTGCGCAGCTGCAGGAAGGGGCAAGGAGATGAGCGCTCCCCTACCCCTTCCTGTGGCTGCGCAGGAATCGGGGGATGAGTGCTCCCCTGCCCGGAGGCTGGTGGCCAGGAACCGGGGGATGAGCACTCCCCCGCCTCTTCCTGTGGCTGTGCAGGAACTGGGGTATGAGCGCTCCTCCGCCTGGAGGCTGGAGGTTGGCGGCTGCTTAGCCACAGGAAGAGGTGATGGAGAGCTCATCACCTGGTGAGTAAAAAAAATTCTGTATTCCCCGCACCCGAGTATACTCCGTGGGGGGTGGTGGTGGAGGTGGTATGTAAAAACGAATATAACCCGCGGGTTATATTCGCTAAATTACAGTAATTAAATATATGGGTATACCTAATGTAATGTGATAGTAAATGACAGGTTATAGGTAAGCGAAGACAATAACAGTACCATTTCTTTAATATGCACACACAAGTGAATTGCTCCATATCAAGACACTTAACATTTCTTTGATTTTCACCAACAAGTGAATTAGTCTATGGCTTTGGTCTACGCTGGCCTATGAATATCATAGGATTTTCTGCCTGCTTGGATGCACCCTCATTTTGTGTATCCAAGAAAGATGATGGAAAGATAAGAAAGTGGAGTTTCTCCTTTGGAGAGGAAAAGATGAAAAGGAGTGTCACTGTGGGTGGGGAGGTGCTTAGGATGTTATTTCTTGGTGCCTTCAGGGATCATGAAGATCTGCTTTTAGACATTTATCTTGAATCTGACACTTTAAAAAAAAAAATCTTCATTAGGCAGTGGCTGTAAGCCTTAAAGTACCAGGATTTAGAGTTGTCAGACAGTGTGCCAGGCAGCTAAAAGAGCTGAGTCCAAAGGTGATGGCTGCAGCTCTAAACCTACCAACCAATTTTTGTTTTCCAATAGACTGACAGCACTGGAACTGATTCCAAGTTACAGGACTTGCTGACTCAAGAAGGACTATCCTGTTCTGGACACTGCTCACCTGGGCCTGGTGGTAATGTCAAAGAATTGGAGATGTTAGGGAGAAAGCACAGTTGCAGAAAGGTTAGAAGGCTTCAGGGAAGAGTCTGATTTTGATTCTGGGAGAGGGACTTGGAGGTCAGGTTCTAGAGAGGTTCATGCTATTTAGGGAGTAAATTTGAGGTGGTACAATGCGGGGGAAGATTTTTATACTGAGTTGTGAAGTGGCCTGTGAGATAGGAAGTAGGGTGGGGGGAAGGGTTGATAGGCTCAGAGTCTGAGGAAGGCATGGTCCAGTGGATAGGACAGGGGACCGGAAGTCAGGAGATCTTCATTCTGTTCCTGGCTTTGTCACTAAATTGCTGCATGACCATGGACAAGTCACTTCTCTTTGTGCCTCTGTTTTCCCTCCTTTGTCTATCTTGTTTAGTTAGATTCTTGCGTACAAATGTTACAATATTACCTCCATTGCAAAGTCAAGATCTTGAAGTCTAGGAAATGCCAGATTTAATTTTCCTTAGATCTGTCCACTTATGTGTTCTGCACTGAATAAGGCAGGAATCCTGTGGAAAAAAAAGCATGTGGTCATGTAATTGAAGACTGTATGTGCAAAAAGGGGTCAGGATTAAAGTACATGGGAACCATAAATCTGGCATTTCCTAACATTGAATAGCTCGACTTGCCTCTCCGTGTTCTTTTAAAATATTTTTTTGTTTTTAATTTTGTTGCTGTGAGGGTGGAGGGGGGTTACAGCAGAAGGTAAAAACCAATTCTGTTGTGTTACTATAATAACCCAAGCCACCTGCTTGCCTTCCTATCTCATATTATTTAGTAGAGTTTGAATCCTGAACATTCAGCACTGCAGTACAGGTTGCTGCTTCTTGAACTTCAGGACTAACTATGTTAGTTGACAGCAAGAGAAGGCTGTTGTCCGAATTGAGGTGGACTTGCTGGATTCTTCTAGGGGAGCCTGCTTGGCTCCTCTTTCTCTAACAAACTCAAGCCACGTCAGTTAAGGGAGCTTCTATACCATGTGGTACCCCAATCGAAGGATTAGGCTGCTAGCTCTGGAAGATAAGGGGTGTCTTCCCTAGGGCATAACTGTCTGTCTCTCCTCTCCTTTGACTTTCTGAGCACTCTGGATTTCTTTCCTTCTGCTTGCTTGCTTGCTGTGGATCTGGGCTTGCTGCTGGTGACATGCATGTAATTTATCCCTAGGTCATTCAGCAACACTAGTGAATAACGAACCACAGTTTCCTCAACCATATGAAGACACCATGGCTCGAACCCAGGTATGACCTTGGCAATACAGATCCCATCACAAAGTTGGGCAAGTCTGTGGTAATGTCCAGTCTAGTTTGAAAAGATGCAGAGAATAGAGCTTCTATAGTCACACAACCTGATGGTGCTGCTAAGGTGCTGAGCAAGGCTCTGTGTATTTTGCTGTCTTAATACCTCCTCCAGCCTGGCAGTGGCACAGGCACAGCCATGGCAACACCCGAATATTAATCTTCTTGGAATGTATGTTCATGTTGATTTCAATTAGGTATGTGTGCGCCACCTGAGACAACTCCTGTTTGGTGGGGAGAAGGAACAGGTGGCTCCATGTTGCCTTGCACTCACCTGCAGGCACTATTCCCGTAGTTCCCATTGGCCGCAATTTCAGGTCATTGGAAGTTGCAATGATCTAGCTTCCTGGCACTGTCAGTGACGTGGCTCCAGCTGGGGAGGAAGGAACAGCAGTGCACAGAACTGCCTCCTTCCCCACCACCCTGGAGGGGCTAGCCCAAAACACTGGGGCTTTATGGGCTGCAGTCCCAAAAATTCCTTAATCCAGCCCTGCTGCTGGGGGTTGGAGGAGTGCGCACCTCCCCCCTGCCATGGCAGAAAGTCCCATCTTGGGCCAAAGATGTGCACCTCCCTGCTGTTGTGGCAGTGAGTCCTGGCTCAGGCTGGAGGAGTGCGCTTTCCCCCCCCAGCCACAGCCAGAAACTTCCTCAGCTGAGGGAGAGGGACACTCCTCTGGACCCAGCATATAGCTGCAGCAGTTGGGGAAGGGGACACTCCTCTGGACCCTGTAAATACTGCAGTGGCTATGGGAGAGGAGTGCTCTTCCAGACCCTGTACGTAGCTGCCGGGAGAGAGGCACTCTCCTCCAGCCCCATCAGGACCAGCACATAGCTGCAGTGGCTGTGGATTACAGACTGCATCCATACCTGCTGGGAGCTGGCCAGGGTTCCAGCTCTGTCAATCATGGCCCACTTACTGAGGGCAGAAGTCTCTTTGATTGTCTTCTTCGCTCTGGTGCCGATACATGTGAGTTGTACAGTGACAACACGGTCTTCAGTTTGAATGTTTAATGGTCATTACACCATCAACCAGCAGGCCAGAGACGATGCAGAGGTCAGCAGGGTGGTTCTTTAGTCAGCGATTCCTTAACTCTGACCCCACCTCTGAGAAGAGTTTGAGAGTCACCTAATTGGAATCAATGTGAATAAGCATTCAAAGAAAAAATGGTTACTCACATACTCAAACTGTTTTTCAAGATGTGTGGTTCACATCCTTTCCAATAACCATCCTCTTTTCCCTTTATCAGAGTAGCTGGCAAGCAGGAAGCCAAGAAAGAGGGGATTGGGTTAGCAGGGTGCTATATTGAGTGCCATAAAGGCGCCGCTCCAGGAGGCACCCCAGCCGATCTGAAGGGGGTTGCTAAGAGAAAAAGTTCCCAATGTCTGTGCATGTGGTGCACACACAGACAATTGGACTGGCTTAAGTTAGAATAACAGTTATGAGAAGGTGAGTAACCCTTTTTTATGGGGAGTTAAAGCATAACTAAGGGGTGGTGAAAACAGCTCATATCCTTCACCTTTGCTTTGAGAAGGATTCATTGCTTTGTACTTCCAAAAGAGTGAGATCACAAGAAATGCCACTTGAATAAGAACAGACACCTTGTTCCAAGAGGTCTTGTCTATCCCTCTGATCCTGGCATTAGACACAGAATAGGGAACAGGTCTCTTGTTTTGAGCCCTATAAAACAAGGGTTTGGTTCCTTTTGAGCTTGTTTGACTTGCAGCTCAGCAACGGAAGTGACAGAGGATCTTAAAATGTTTAAGGATTTGATGCTGTGTGTGAATAGGACCTCCCGCTGGAGTTTGGTTACATCTCTGATCTGAAGTTCCTGTAATGAGGGCAATTAATGGGACATAGTCATATCAGATGTTGGGAATAAGTCTGGACACTCTGGCTGCAATGAAACAAGCAAGAGGATTTATTGCACACAGCACGAGTGGAGTGTCCCACAGCTAATTAAGCTGGTGAACACTGCTTAAGCAAAACATTACAATAGATTGTATAGGGGACTGATGGACGGAGGAGAAGCAATTCAGTAGGTTCTAGCAGCAAGATGAAATGAGCACGTAAGCCAGTAAGCTAAGAGAGATTATATAGCATCTCTTCCCATCGTTAATTAAATACCTTATCTCTAATACAGATTGTTATTCCTAACAAGCTAAGTAAGCCAACATAAACAAAACAGACACTTTAATGGCAGCTTTTGTCTATTTATGTTATGATGCGTCTATGGAAGGATGGTGCCGGCTCACGCTGGTGTGATCCTTGGTTCATGGGCCCATTATCTAGGATATCATACCCCCTAACATTAACAAGGTTGTTTTGGTACCAGATGGTGTCTTATCTGTTGAGGCCCCTTGAAATGTGGTTGCCAGGGTGACTATGCCTTTCCCAGGGTCATGCTAACTGCCCATCCTGCTAGTTTACAGGCCTATTCCTGTCTCATAATTTTAGGGTTGAATAGGGATTCTTAGTGAAAATCCATGGATTGCCTCAGTTTACCCTACACCACGGTACAAAATATATCAAAAGGACAGAACAGGTCATGCTGATGGGGGAGTAGTACTATATGTGAAAGAAAATGTAGAATCAAATGAAGTAAAAATCTTAAATGAACTGAATTGTTCCATAGAAACTCTATGGGTAGTAATTCCATGCTCTAATAAGTATATAGTAGGGATGTAATTGTGTAGTCAATTAACCAGTAAGCAAAAGCTTATAGGTTAATGCTGTAGATTACATGCATTTCCCCCCTGTCCTCCAGTACATTTTTTAGCAGGCTGGCCCGTCTCAGTCCATGCTTGCACTGGATCTGGGAGTTAAGCCCAACCCCCAAACAGGGGCAGCTGCCACCTCACACTGCTGCCTCTGTATCAGAGGCAGCATGGGGCAATGGGCAGCCAGTCCATGAGGAGAGCTGTTTTTTAAACTGACTCCCCTCATGGACCAGCTCCTGCCTGGCACCCAGTGCTGTTGCCTCTGAAACAGAGGAAGCAGCGCAGAGTGGTAAGGGGTGCCTCAGGAGTGGGGCTGGAGTGCACTAGCTGCTGGCCACCCCTCCCCCCCCCCCGGGCTATAGAATAGTCGAGTAACTGAAAAGAATTAATGAGTCGATTCAACTGACATTTAACATCCCTAGTATATAACAGAAGAGAGATATTAATGACCACCTGACCAGAATAGTAATAGTGACTATGAAATGCTAAGGGAGATTAGAGAGGCTAACAAAATAAAAAACTCAATAATAATGGGGGAATCTAGTCCAAGAGGTAGATATAACTGGACCGGTTGGAAATAGTGACCACAGTGTAATAAAATGTAACACCCCTGTGGTGGGAAAATCACCTCAGGAGCCCAACACTGTGGCATTTAGTTTCAGAAAGGGGAACTACACAAAAATGAGGAGACTATAGTTAAACAGAAAATAAGATACAGTGACAGAAGTAAAATCTGTGCAAGTTGCATAGAAACTTCAGCCACCATAATAGAGGCCCTACTTAAATGTATACCCCAAATTAAAAAACACAGTAAGAGTACCAAAAAAGTGCCACTGTGACTTGACTTAACCAAGTAAAAGAAGCAGTGAAAGATAAAAAGGCATAATTTTAAAAAGCAGAAATTAAAACCTAGTGAGGCATATAGAAAGGAGCATAAACACTGTAAAAACAAGTAATAGCAAAATGTTTAAGTACATCAGAAGCAGGAAGCCAGCTAAGAAACCATTGGGGGCCCTGGATGATCAAGATGTTAAAGGAACACTTGAAGATAAAGTCATTGCAGAGAAACTAAATGAATTCTTTGCTTCAGTCTTCATGGCTGAGAATGCTAGGGAGATTCCCAAACCTGAGCCATTCTTTTTAGTTCTTATGTTAGGTGACAAATCTGAGGAATTGTCCCAGATTGAGATGTCACTACAGGAGGTTTTGGGTCAAATTGATAAACTTAATAAGCCAGATGGCACCCACCCAAGAGTTCTGCAAGAACTCAAATGTGAAATTGAGGCACTATTAACTGTGGTTTGTAACCTATCCTTTAAATCAGCTTCTGTACCTAATGACCGGAAGATAGCTAATGTGACACCAGTATTTTAAAAGGGCTCTAAAGGTGATCCTGGCAATTACAATGAGTATGGGAAAATTATTTGGAATTACAGTAAAGAATAAAATTGTCACACACGTAGATGAACATAATTTGTTGGAGGAAAGTCAACATGGTTTCTGTAAAGGGAAATCATGCCTTACTAATATGCTAGAGTCCTCTGAAGGGGTTAGCCCAACATGTGATAGTGTACTTAGATTTCCAGAAAACCTTTGACAAGACCCCACACCAAAGGCTCTAAAGTAAGTAGTCATGGGATAAGAGGTAAGGTCCTCTCATGGATTGATGACTGATTAAAAGATAGGAAACAAAGGTGAAGAATAAATGGTCAAATATCAGAATAAAGAGAAGTAACTAGCGGTGTCCCCCAATAGTCTGTACCAGAACCAATCCTATTCCACATATTTATAAATGAGCTGGAGAAAGGGGTAAACAGTGAGGTGACAAAACCAGCAGATGATTCTAAACTGCTTCAGATACTTAAGAGCAAAGTAGATTGTAAAGAGGTTTGAAAGGATCTCACAAAACTGGTAAACTGTGCAACAAAATGTCAGATGAAATTCAATGTTGAACAATGCAAAGTAATGCATATTGAAAAACATAACCCCAACTATATGTATAAAATGATGGGAACTAAGTTAGCTGTTCTCACTTGAGAGAGAGGTCTTGAACTCCTATGCATAGTTCTCTGAAAACATCCATTAAGTGTGCAGCAGCAGTCAAAAAAGCAAGCAGAATGTTGGGAGTAATTAAGAATGGGACAGAGAATATCTTATTTTCTCTATATAAATCTATAATACACCTACATCTTGAATACTGCATGCAGGTATGGTTGCTTCATCTCAAAACAGATATCTTGGCATTGGAAAGGTGCAGAAAAGGGTAACAAAAATGGTTAGGGGTATGCAATAGCTGCCATTTGAGGAGAGAGAAATAAGATAGGGACTTTTCAGTTTTGAAAAGAGATGAGTAAGAGCGGACATGATAAAAGTCTATAAAATCCTGACTGATGTGGAGAAAGTGAATAAAGAAGTTCTTTGCTTTTTTTCCATAATATAAGAACTAGGAGGTCAGTAAGGCTGTGTCTAGACTACATCTCTCTTTCAACAGAGGGATGTAGATTAGACACTTTGAAATTGCAAATAAAGTGGGGATTTAAATATCCTGTGCTTCATTTGCATAATCATGTCATGGCGTTCTTTCGAACAAGTGCCATTTAGAAAGTAAAACCATGGTCTAGACTTGGGAATACAGGATCTTTTGAAAAAGCCTGCTGTTTTTGAAAGAACCGCATCTAGACTGTGGTTTTATTTTCGAAATGGCACTTGTTCAAAAGAGCGCCATGATGTGATTATGCAAATGAAGTGCGAGATATTTAAATCCCCACTTCATTTGCAATTTCAAAGTGTCTAATTTACATCTCTCTGTCGAAAGAGGGATATAATCTAGACACAGCCTAGGTGAAATGACTAAGTAGTAGGTTTAAAATAAAAGGAAATACTACTTAAATGACCAGTCAACTAAAGGAATTTCTTGCCAGACAATTTTGTAAAGACCAAGATTAGAACAGCAATCAAAAAGAGCTAGAGAAATTCATGGATGATAGGTCCCTCAGTGTGATGCTGTTGCAAAAAAAGCAAACACGATTCTGGGATGCATTAACAGGTATGTTGTGAGCAAGACACGAGAAGTCATTCTTCCGCTCTACTCTGCGCTGGTTAGGCCTCAGTTGGAGTATTGTGTCCAGTTCTGGGCACCGCATTTCAAGAAAGATGTGGAAAAATTGGAGAGGGTCCAGAGAAGAGCAACAAGAATGATTAAAGGTTTAGAGAACATGACCTATGAAGGAAGGCTGAAAGAATTGGGTTTGTTTAGTTTAGAAAAGAGAAGATTGAGGGGGCACATGATAGCAGTTTTCAGGTATCTAAAAGGGTGTCATAAGAAGGAGGGAGAAAACTTGTTCATCTTGGCCTCTGAGGATAGAACAAGAAGCAATGGTCTTAAACTACAGCAAGGGAGGTTTAGGTTGGACATTAGGAAAAACTTCCTAACTGTCAGAGTAGTCAAACACTGGAATAAATTGCCCAGGGATGTTGTGGAATCTCCATCTCTGGATATATTTAAGAGTAGTTTAGATAAATGTCCATCAGGGATGGTCTAGACAGTATTTGGTCCTGCCATGAGGGCAGGGGACTGGACTCGATGACCTCTCGAGGTCCCTTCCAGTCTTAGTATTCTATGATTCTATGATTTTTTAGACTAACTCTTGTTTTCTTATTCTAGACCAGTACAGATGAAACCCCCAGAAACAGCAATGGGCTGTTTGCTGAGGAAAGTGGCGCTGCTGGCATTCTGGAGTATCTTGCTGTAGAGAAATATAAGGAGCTGTCAGTCTTGCTGCAGGAATTAAGGGAAGCTCAAGAGGAGATAGCATTTTTGAAGGGGCAGCTCCTGGACTCAGGAAGCCAAACACCAGCAATGACCTGGACAGAGGGAAGTCAGAAGACCTCACGTATCCAGAGTGAATTGAACAGCTGCTTCCTGACAATGGAGGAAGTGCAGAAAACGTCTGTGCTTCAGGAAGACAAAAATAGCCTCCCACCTCTGGAGCACATCAACTACAGTGGAAGGGAAGTAGATGCAGTGCAAGAGCTTAGAGAAGGGCTCTGTGCAGCAGCTCCAGAGTTTGGTCTTTCTCAGGCTCAGGAACTGACAAGATTGCAAATAAAAATTACCGAGCTGCAAAAAAGCCTGCAGAAATCAGAAGAATTGTATAATAAAGACTTAGGAGAGAAAGTGGTAGAAATAAATAGATTAACCCAGCAGGTTGAGGAATGCACAAAAAATGCAGAGAACTCTATGCAGAAAGTGCATATTCTGACTGAAGAAAGAGATCAAGTCCTGTCTCAAATGAAGGAGCTTTATACCATAACAGAACTAAAGGATCAAGTGAAGCAGCTTGAGGGAAATCTAATGGATTCAGAAAAGCAGAGGCTATTTGACTATGAAAGCAGAACTATACTGCACAGTCTACTGAAAGAACAATTCCAGAGCCTGAAAAATGAATCTAAATCCAAAGAGATAAAAATTGAAGCTTTGCAAAGGGACCTGGATGAGGCACAGCTTCAGCTTTCAGAACAGGATGCTCTAGCAAAAAGTCTGAGAATCCAGCTCCAGGATATGGAGTCTGAAGTGCTTGATCTGCAACAACATCTGAGGAAGAGTACAGTCAAGATAGAAGAGCTAACTCAAAACATTGCCTCTAAGAAGCTTGATACAGCAAGGCTAGAACGGCTTCTTTCTGAACGAAATGGGGATATTGAGAACCTCCAGCAAGCTCTACGGGAGAGTGAGCAGCAGATGACTGAAATCAGTGCCACCATGTCAGAGAAAATGGTCCAGTTGAATGAAGAGAAATTTTCTCTGACAGGTGAACTAAAGAGCCTTAAAGAACAAATGAGCCTATTGTTGAAAACTGAGGAAATAAGAAACCAGCAGACAGGACAAACAGGGGAAGCAGGAGACTTGTATCTGAAATGTGAGGGGTCTGAGCAGCAGAGTGAGTTGGTGGCATCTGTGAGTAAGGGGAGGGAGGTACTAGGAAGTGAACTGGAGCTTCTCAAAAAAGAAAATGAGCTAGTGAAGCGGAAGCTGCAGGCAGCTCTCATCAATAGGAAGGAACTTATGAAGAAGGTCAACAAACTAGAGAATGAGCTGGTGCAAGTGAGAGGGAATCCTGAGGCAGAAACTCAAGAAACTGAAGTCAAAGAAACTACAGCAAGCAGACAAAATGCAGAGGGAGACTTGAATCCTGAAAGCCAAGCCAGGGAGATGTGTCTCATGCAGTTGCTTTCTGAAAGAGAATCTGAGCTTCAGAGCACCCAGAAGGAGTTGCTGGAGAAGAAAGCAGCTGAAGTGGAGTTGCAGGCTTTGATTGAGGAGATGAAGAAAAGTTTGGAGGATAAGACTAATCTCCTTGATTCAAAAAGAACTGAAATTCTAGAAAGCCAGTCAGCCATCCAGAAACTTACTGCAGACAATAAGAGCTTAAAAGAATCGGAACCAGCTGCTTCTAACAAGGATGAGGAAAGCAGTGCAACTGCTCCAGGATTTGAAGAACACCATAAGTCTGCCCTGAAAGAGAGAATCTCTGCTCTTGAACAAGAAAAAGAACAGCTCCAAAAGAAGCTTCAGGAAGCACTGACTTCCCGCAAGGATACTATAAAGAAGGCTCAAGAAAAAGATCGACACCACAGGGAGCAACTGAAACAGCAGAAGGATGAATATAATCTCCTACAAGAACAGTTTGGTAAGCAAAGCAAAGAGAAGGAAAGTATCCAAGATCAGCTTAGGCAACTCCAAGCACAGACAGAATATACAGAGAACCATTCTCCTCCAAGCATCCAGTTCCAAAAGTCATCTGAGCCTGTACTTGATGTAACACAGCAGCTTGCAGGAAACATACAGCATTCTGGTCGGAGCGAATCTTTGTGCTTGGAAGTAGAAAATATGGAGACAAATAACTTCTTACAGGTGACAGATGTTTCCATGGAAGAGTTTAAGGCAGAGTTCAAAAATCTGCAGACAAAGAAAGATGAACTAGAGTTCAAAGTCAGTCATTTGGAAAGTGATCTTGCTTGCAAAGCAGAAGCAATCATTCAGCTACAAGAACACATAGCACAATTGCTCTCAGAAGTAGAAGGGCTGAAGAGCACCTGTCACGAGGCAGAAGCCCATGCAGCAAACCTTCAGGCAGAACTGGAAAAAAGTCAAGTAGAGACTTCCAGACAGAACAATCAAAAGGCACTTAAACAAGAAATAGAGGCGCTAAAAAATCTCATGGGCAAAAAGGATGAAGAAATTGAGCTCTTAAACTTGCAGCTAAGGGAGAAAATCCAAGATCTTGCTCATGTAGAGAGAGATTGTTTGGAAAAAGAAGACTTGATCAAGACTCTGCAGAGTCAGCTGGAAACACAGAGCAAGCAACTGAAAGCTGAGTTTCTTGAAGTCCAGCAGAGACAAAATGAGGAGGCGGAAGAAACCCAACATAAAAACCAAATTCAGAGAAAACTTCAGGCTGCACTCATCTCTAGAAAAGAGGCACTTAAAGAGAGTAAGACTCTAAAAGAGGAGCTGGCTTCTGCGAAAATGACTATAGAAAATATCTCTCTGAGGTTGGCAGATATGGAGAGCCATGTTTGTGATCAGGATAGGGAAAAAGAGGTATTATCAGAAAAGTTAGTAGCTGTCACAGAAGAGAGAGAAAAACTTATTGCAGAAGTTGACAAAGCTTTAATAGAAAATCAGAACCTTGATAGCTCTTGTGAAAGTCTGAAGCTGGCTGTAGAGGGAATCACTCAAGAGAAGGAGAAATTGGAGGAGGAGATAGAATCTTTGAAATGTTCGCAGGCTGCTGAGAATTCTGAGTGGCAAGAGAAATATAAGGAGCTGCAGAAAGAATATGAAACTCTCTTGCAGTCTTATGAGAATGTAAGTAATGAGACGGAGCGAATTCATAGTGTTCTGGAAACTATCAGGCAGGAAAAGCAAGACATTTTCAGCAAGTTGAAAAGTGTGGAGGCTAAGAAAACAGAAGTAGATAAACAACTGCAGGAGACTGAGCAAGAGATGGAGGGAATGAAAGAAAAAATGAGGAAGTTTGCAAAATCCAAGCAACAAAAGATTCTGGAACTGGAGGAGGAGAATGAACGGCTGAGAGCAGAGCTGCATCCTACAGATGGTGACCTAAACAGGGATGAAGATACAGCTCTCTTGACAAGTACTAGCATTAAAGAGGCACTAGAGAGCTCTAGGAGGGACTGCCAGTCTCTTTCCATTCAACTTGAGGCATTAATGGCTGAAAAGGATTCTCTTAGTCAAGAAGTTCAAGACTTAAAGCACCAATTACAGTGCACAGAAACTAAGCTGCAGGAAAGCCTAAAGGCAGGAGCTAAGCATGGTGTCCAAAAAATTATAGTGGAACAAGAAAATCAAGCTATTCCCACAGCAGCATTACCTCTAGATGTGGATTTAGGCCCCTGCATAAAGTCTCCAGAGCCTGTGAGAGCAGGCATTGTAATTGAAACAAAAGAGAAATTAAATGAAGATATCAGCTCACATGATGAAATTAATACTTACTTACAGCAAATAGCTCAGCTCACAGAGCAAATCACAGACCTGGAACAGAACAGAATGGCTGCAGAAGAACAAATAGGTAGCATTTGCAGGAGTGTTGAAACTTTAGGAGAGGAAAAAAAGGCATTAGAGAGCGAAATGGCAGCAAAAGTCTATGAATTGAACACACTTCAGGAAACAGTAGCCAAGATGGAACTTACTAATAGACATTTTGAAGAAAAACTTGTCAGAATGACAGAGCTGAAGGAAATGTTGGGGGCAGAGAAGGATGACTTGGAGGAAAGGCTCATGAATCAGCTAGCAGAACTTAATGGAAGTATTGGAAACTATCAACAAGACATGGCTGACCTCCAAACAAAAAATGAGCAACTGAAATCTGAGCTCCAGAGCTTGCAGAAAACCATAAGTAAACTGGAGGAGGAGAAGGGGCAGCTGGTGAAAGAGAAAACTGAAGCAGAACCAGAGACGCAGAAGGAATATTCAGAAAAACTAAAATGTGCTCGGAAGGAAGATGGCTGCAGAATTCTTGCAAAAGAACTTCAGGAGCTGCTGAAACAGAAACAGCAGGAAGTGAAGCAGTTGCAAAAGGACTGTATTAAAAGTCAGGAGAAGATCAGTAGTTTAGAGAGAACTGTTAAAGCTATGGAGTTTGTTCAAAGTGAGTCTCAAAAGGAACTGACAGCAGCCAGAGAGAACTTAGTGAAAGCATGTGAAGACACTAAAAAAGCACAAGCAGAGCTGGCTTCCTGCAGAATATTACTAGATGATACTCAGAGCGAGACAGCAAGGGTTTTAGCAGAGAGTCTCAAAGTGAAAGAGGAGCTGCAGACAAATAAAGAGCATGTTAAAATTCAAATGAAGAGAAGAGATGAAGATTTTGAGAGAAAATTTGAACAAGAAAAAGGCAGGCACTCAAAAGAGATAAATAACATGGAGGAGAAGATGGCATCTTTGCAGAGAGAGAGAGATTATATGGAAAGCACTGTCAGAAATATTCAGGACTCCTTGCACAAAAGGGACCAAGAAGCCAAGCAGTTACAAGGCAGCCTGAATAAAACCCTGGCCCAGCTTGCAGCCTTCACCAGGACCATGACTTCCCTCCAGGATGACAGAGATCGAGTGATAGACGAGTCCAAAAAATGGGAGAAGAAGTTCACTGAGGCTATTCAAAAGAAAGAAGAGGAGATCTATGCTAGAGAGGAGACCTGCACTGTTCTAAAGGATCAGATGAGGCAGATGTCCATGCATATAGAGGAGCTACAGATTCATGTATCTAGGTAAGAAGGAAATGAAAGTGAATGATGATTATCTTGGTATTATGGTCTTTCCTACCATCTTGCATTTTTCAAAAACAACAAGGTGTCCTGTGACATCTTAAAGACTAACCGATTTATTTGGTAGTCCTGTGGTCCCTTTGAGACTAATAAAAATGTATAGAATCATGAGCTTTTGCAGGTAAAATCCACTCCAACTCATCTGGTGGAGTGGTTTTTACCCACAAAAGCTTTTGCCCAAATAAATGTTAGTCTTTAAGGTGCCACGGGACTCCTGGTTGTTTTTGCAGGTACAGACTAACATGGTGATCCCTATGATACTTTTCATTTCTCAGTTATCAGGAGACTGCCATTTCCCCTCATGTTTCTTCAGTCCCCTCCCCTACCATTTGATCCGATTTGTGAGTGTTAGGGGAGAGAAGTGCCCCAGTTTTCAAGGAAATATAAGTAACGATGTGGATTTTAGAGCAGGAAGTCATATTTTAAACAGAGAGCTGGTCTATACCTTAACTATGATAGATCTTGCAGTCAACTATAAGGGATACAAATTTGGATATTGGGATACTTTGTAGATATGTCTTTAATCTGTTTTCAGGCTGGAACACAACAAACAGGATTGGGAGTCTGAGTCCCAGAGAGTAACTGAGCAGCATCAAAAGATGTCTGACATGTTGCAAGAGGAAAACAAAGGACTCCTATCTCAGTTAGAAGAGTATCAGCGACTATACACAGACTCTCAGAATGAACTGCAGAAGCTGGATGCAGAAATCAAATGCCTCAAAGACCAGCTTGGTGATTTGCATAACTCCTTCACTAAGTGTGAGGTAGCAAGAGAAGAAATGGAAAGCATGGTCAAGCAGCAAGAGGCCATAATCCAGAATTATAAATTAAATTGTGAGCAGCTTGATGCTGACTTGCAGGCCTCAAAGGGCCTGACAAACAAGTTACATGCAGAAATTGCTGCCCAAGATCAGAAGATTATCAGTCTACTATCTGCCAAGGAGGAGGCAGTCATGACTGTTGTATCTGAATTACAGCAGCAACACAATGAAGAAGTTAAAAAGCTGGAGGATAAGTTGGGTGAGAAGGAAGAAGAGAAAGTGGCCTTGAAAGATGAGAGAGAAAAAGCACTGGACAAGCTTAATCATCTCATGGAAAGGATGAAGATAACTAAAGAGGAAAGTATACAGCAGAAGGCACAGCTGGTTTCCTTTACCAAATGCATGTCCTCTCTCCAGGATGATAGAGACCGAAAGACCAGTTAATTCAAGAGGCTGCTGCTGAGAATAACAAGCTCAAAGAGGAGATTCGAAGCTTCCATAGCCAGATGGATGACCTCAACTCTGAAAATGCTAAACTGGATGCAGAACTGGTGCGGTATAGGGAGGACCTGAACAAAGTGATCTCAATAAAGGACTCCCAGCAAAAGCAACTCCTCAAAACACAGCTTCAGAGAATCCAAGTACTGGAAAAGGAAAAGGGCCTCATAGAAGGGCAGCTGAGGGAGTCAGAGCATGCTATGGAAGGTCTCAGGCAGAGTGTAGAAGCCCTGAAAGAGGACAAACAAAGCATGGTCCAAGAGATTGAAAATCTGACATCTTCTCTCTCTCAGATTCAGAGTGAGATGACAGCTTTACATGAAGGGAGCCCCATTGTGGAGCTGGAAACACAATTAAAAGGCCGAGAGAAGGAAGTACAAGAGCTGAGCAGTAAGATTGCTCTCACACAGGAGAAGGTAGCAGAACTTGAGGAGAAACTGGTCCATGTCCAAAGGAGTGCAGCCAAGAAGGTGGAAGAGGCTGAAGACAAACTTAAGAATGAACTGAAACACTTACATCATGATGCAGGGCTAATGCGGAATGAAACTGAAACAGCAGAAGAAAGGGTAGCAGAGCTGGCAAGGGACCTGATGGAAATGGAACAGAAGCTTCTTACTGTCACAGAGGAAAACAAAGATCTGAGAGCCCAACTTCAGTCTTTTGGGAAGTCCATGAGCTCTCTTCAGGATAGTTGGGACCAAGCCAATGAAGAGCTTCAGGTGCTGGGAAAAAAATACTCTATGGATTTAAAGGAGCAGCAGTGTCTAGTACAGAACCTTCAAAAAGAAATGGCTCATTTACAGGAAGAGCTTCACTCCACTGCCATAGAGAGAGACTCTCTGATGTCTGAATTGACAGCCCTGAAGAATGCTGATGATAACAAAAGCTTGCTATGTCAGCTTGAGGAACTTAACCGGCGACTCGGAGTCAAAGAGGAAGAGCTTCTCCACTTGTCTTTGGATCTGGAGGAGTCCTCCAGCCAGATAAAGTCCTTCTCCAGGGCGATGGCAAGCCTGCAGGATGAGAGAGATCGTCTGTTGAGTGAATTGGACAAAGCACATAAGGTGGAGGAAGTGAAGCAGCAGACAGCAGTGAACTCTTCCACCAGCCCCGCTGAAGTGCAGAGCTTGAAGAAGACATTGGTCTCCCTACAGGATGACAGAGACAGACTGGTAAATTCTCATTTCTCCTTTCCATTATATTTTTTATACCCTTATAGCAGTGGTTCCCAATTTTTTTGAGCATACAGACCCCTTTTCAATCTCTTAAAATTTCACAGACCCTTCCTCCCTTGGGGAGAAAAAAGAAGAAAAGGAAAAGATGAGTAAGGGCAGACCACCAGGGGTCTGCAGACCACAGGTTGGAAACCACTTCACTGTAGGATGTTGTTGATAAAATTCCTAATGTTTCATTAGGACTTCTATTTAGAATTTTCTTTAAAATCCAGGAGGTCTACATCTGATATTTGAAATATTAAAACATACTGTACTTCTATATTCGTAACAATGAAATCACTACCATGATGCTAACTTTAAGATAATTTCCATAATCTTAATGTTCAAACATAGTCATAAAAATTAGAGATGGGAAAACCTTGTCAACTTGCTAAGCCTATACCTTGAGGACCAGTTTATCATATTAGTCTTTGATCCAGTTTAATTTTAGATGTTCCGATTAATGCCCCTTTCTTGGGGAAAGGGGCATTACAAAAGTTCATACCTTGTCTCCCCCGAGTTCAGTCTGGACCAGTGTTCCCTGTAAGATTTTCCTTCTGTGGGTTGAATTTTATTTTGGGCGGGTCCTGACAAATATTGAGATAGTGTGTGGATGTGCACCCACCAGCACAAACAAAAAACATACATTTAAATAGTCCATAGGTTTGGAAGAAAATGTGTTCAAACAAGGGATAATTAACAGGGATTAATTATTTAATAAATGATTATTTAATATGAAATCAAATAAGAAAATTAACACTACGCTCGGCAGAAGAAGTGGATTGTACTCATGAAAGCTCATGATACTATTTATATATTTTTGTTAGTCTAACGTGCTATAAGGTGTTGGTTGGTTGGTTTGTTTTGGTTACAGACTAACATGGCTACCCCTCTGAGACCATGGAGTACATGTATCATCATCATTCCTAACCTACAGATGCATGTTTCAAAGATCTTGCAAATAAGGTTTCATCCTACAAAATAGCTAGCATCACACCTCGTTCTTGCTGCTTCTCACTCATAAGAGCCAGAACTCTATCAGATAGCAAAGATCTGCCTTAATACAGTACAGTTTACCATGTATTAATTAAAAAAAAAAGGTCATATAGCACTTTAAAGACTAACAAAATAGTTTATTAGGAGATGAGCTTTCGTGGGGCAGACTCACTTCTTCAAATCATATTCTGAAAGCGAATTGGCATGACTATTATATAACAAAGGGATTCAATGAAAAAACAGCTCATGGGAGCTCCGGGGGGCGAGGGTAGCATGAAAAGCCTCTCCCCTCCCTCCAGGCTCTCAGCATTCACAAATACACACGTGACCCTGCACCCAGCTTTCCTGAGTGCCAAGCAAGGGTGGGGCAGGCAGGGAGTGGCCAGGGCTTTTGCAGCTGTATCCAGCTCGCAGATCATCTTTTGCCCAGCCCTGGAGTAGAGGCTGGAGCCAGCTTATCCATTTATAGTAGGCAACTGCAGCAGCTGCTGCTTCTTATGTTCCTTTGAGAGGGCAAATGTCCCTTCCTTCCTTCCCCAGCCAATCAGCTGAGTCTCTGCACGGGGCTTAGAAAAGAGCAGGCACACGGCTTGCAGGGAACATTGGTCCAAACCCTTGATTATATAATTAACCCTTTTCATCTTGCCCCAAGGACTGTCACTGCTTATGTATATGAAAGAAGAAGAGAAAATTAAGTCTGAAAATCAGGAAAAGCCTTCCTGACTGTAAAGTCATCGTCACTTAACATTGAGGCCTAGAGGTCTCAGCCACGTTGGTCCCCGTTGTCAGGCACATGATGGGGCCCAGCCTGGTTGAGAGATACCTGGACTTCAGCAAAGATTTGGCATAGACCCACATAACATTGGAGAAATGCAGGCTCAGCAGAACTACAATTCAGTGGATATATAATTGGCTAAACAACTACAAACATAAATGGAATGATGTTGAATTGGAGGGAGGTCTCAACTGGGGTTCCACGTGGTTCTGTTTTTGGGTCTGTATTTAATGTCTTTATTAATGATCTAGTTGTAGGTATAGAGAGCATACTGATCAGATTTGCAGATGACACAAAGCTAGGGAGGGCTGATTGCCAACATTTTGGAAGATAGAGCTAAAATTTAGAGAGATCTTGATTAAATTGGAGAACTGGATTATACACAATAAAATGTAATTCATCGAAGACAAGTGTAAGATAGTACACTTAGGGAAGAAAAAACAAATGCACAAATACAGAAAATGGACTTAGCAGCAGCAATGCTGAGAAGAACACCACCACCCAGATACAAATGCTTGCTCATGTCCATTCAGCATAGGTGTGTATGCTCGTCACATTCACCAGTGCCAGAAGATTTTCCTTCAGCAGTACCCAGAGGGGCCTGGGTCTCAGTGGCTCCTGGAGTAGTGCACATATGCCATACTATATAGTGCACTCCTGGGCCCCTCTCCCTTTTTGCTGCTTGTGATGGTGCTTGAACACTCTGCTCTAGCTATAGCATTATCATTCCCTCATTTTCATTTACTATAATAGTTTTCTTTGTGTTTTAGTGGAGTAGTTAATAGTTAGTTCCCTATTGAGAATTAACCTGGGATAGGGGCATGCTCTGTTCCCCTGGCTTTAAAGCCTGTGCCGTGTGCCACAGGCCTAAGCAAGTAAGCAACCCGCACACTGACTGCCTTCGTTGTTTAGGTGAATCCCATATTTCTTCCAAGTGCAAGATTTTCACTTCTTTTTTTATCCCAGGACAATGAGAAGGAGGGGTATTCAACTAAGGGTGCTTCTGTTGGAGACTTCCCTAGTGCCAGAAGATCTGCACTCTGGTTTGGTGTCAAGTACTTCAGCCTTGGTGTGGAGTGCACTGCTGGCACTGTCAGTGCGGCACCTGGTGTCGTTGGCCCAGCCTAAGAGGGCTAAAAAGTTGGCCAAAGATAGCTCTCCTGACCAGAAGGAGATGGCCAAGAAAGGGAAACCATCTGTCATAACGTTCCAGGGACAAGTCCCCGGTGCAAACGGAGAGCCTCAGTCTGGCTCAGTTGCCACTGGCTGCCATCACCATATGCATCCCCCTTCCATACTGCAGGTCTTTCAGGTAATGTAGGACATCCTTTCCATGTCAGTGGGGCCAGATGAGTCAAGGCATAGGGGGAAGCAAATTTCATCTTGGTTTGCATTATCAGAAGCATAGCATGCAAGCATCAGCAGTTGATAATATTGCTCTACTGGGCATTCTTTAGGTGTCATCTGACGTACTATCTAGAGAAAGCTTGTAAAGAATCTGGAAAGGATTCAGAGGTGAGCAACAAAGAGGATCAAAAAGATAAAATTAGAACATAAGAAGGGCCACACTAGGTCAGACCAACGGTCTGTCTAGCTCTAGCCTAAAAGCAAGACACAAGAAATCATTCTTCTGCTCTACTCTGCACTGATTAGGCCTCAGTTAGAGTATTGTGTCCAGTTCTGGGCACTGCATTTCAAGAAAGATGTGAAGAAATTGGTGAAGGTCCAGAGAAGAGCAACAAGAATGATTAAAGGCCTACAAAACATAACCTATAAAGGAAGGCTGAAAGAACTGGCTTTGTTTAGTTTAGAAAAGAGAAGATTGAGGTGGGACATGATAGCAGTTTTCAGGTATCCAAAAGGGTGTCACAAGGAGGAGGGAGAAAACTTTTTCTATCCTCAGAGGCCAGAAAGAACAAGAAGCAATGGGCTTAAACTGCAGCAAGGGAGGTTTAGGTTGGACATTAGGAAAAAGTTCCTACCTGTCAGGGTGGTTAAACACTGGAATAAATTGCCTAGGAAGGTTGTGGAATCTCCATGTCTGGAGATATTTAAGAGTAGGTTAGATAAATGTCTACCAGGGATGATCTAGACAGTATTTGGTCCTGCCATGAGGGCAGGGGACTGGACTCTATGACCTCTCGAGCTCCCTTCCAGTCCTAGTATTCTATGATTCTGACAGTGGCCAATGCCAGGTGCTTCAGAAGGAATGAACAGAACTAGTAATTGTGATGTGATTTCTATAACTGTCACCCATTCCCAGCTTCTGGGAAACAGAGGTTAGGGACACGGTAGAGCATGGTTTTACATCCCTGCCCATCCTGGCTGATCACCATTGATGGAACTATCCCTCATGACGTAAGCCAGATGAGCAAAGGCAGAAGGAACTGGGTATGTTTAGTTTGGAAAAGAGGAGATTAAAGGGGGCATGATGCTTGAAAGGCTGCCATTAAAAATATGGAGAAAAGTTCTCTTCTGCCTATAGAGGGCAGGACAAGGGGAAATGAGTTCAAACAGCATAGAAGATTTAGATTAAATCTTAAGAAAAACTTCCTAATTGTAAGAACAGCAGGACATTGGAACAGCTGCCTTGTGAGGTTGTGGCAGTTCCTTCACTGAAGGTATTCAAAAGGAGGCTGGAGAGCTATTTGTCTTGTATGGTTTAGACCTACCAAATCCTGCATCTTGGCAGATTAGATTATATGACCCTTCTGACCCTGTGATTCTGTGAATGTCTCAGGAACATGTAAAGCAGCAACTGCTATAATAGACATATTTAAATCAGTAGATTGAGGAACTCACTGGACCCTAATGTTAATGTTCATTACCTCTTAGAACAATGGGGACATTCTAGAAAATTGAAAGAAAGCTAATGTTTGCCAGTATTTAACACAGGTAAATGGGATGACCTGAGTCATCCCATTCTAACTAGGCCAGTTAGAAAGATCATTGTCCAGCTAAAGACCATGTATGGGCTTTGGAGTGCAGAGTGGCTAAATTGGAGGAGCTAAGGGAGGCCAAAAAGTACATGGATGAGGCTTTCTGGGACACTGTAGAACAGTCCCACCTCCAGTCAGACTGCGCCTGTGCTGTTAAGGAGGATGAAAAGCTCAGGGAAGGAGAACAGTCAACTGGAGCAGAGGGAAATGATCCCATAGTTGGGACCCTCCTTCCAGAGGATGTTATT